ATCTACTGCTCCTCGGCCTCCTCCTCCTCCTCCTCCTCCTACGCCTCCCCCTCCATTGGCCTTATCCTCCTCTTCCTCCTCCTTAATCTCTGTTCCTTCGAAATCATTGCTGCTTGACGCACCTCAGGCCGGCCAGGCGTTTTGCTTGAGACTTCCTCACCATGTGTCATTGTAAAGTTTCTAAGTTGTCAACAGTTTCACGGGTGGAGAGCGGACCGTTTTCAAAATGTTGTTCTCGCTGGAGCGTTGCGCACATTCGTTCTGGAAGTTTGCAACAGTTGCAAGGGTGGGGAGGGCACGTCCGTTTTAAGATGCGGCTCTCGCTTAGCGCCGCGCACAGTATGTCTCCAGAAATTCTCAACATCTTCAAGGACGCAAGGCTGTTGTTTAAAATGTAGCTCTCGCCTCCGCGCCTCGCACGTTCGTCTTCAACATATGGTTGAAGTCCCAGGAAAGGTGTTCTGGCACTACTGTACCTTGTCAGGACACAACTGTCACGTTGACTCGCGATGCTGAAGTCTCAGGAACGCTGTGCTGGCACGTGTCAGGTTTGTCGGAACGCAACAATCACGTTGATCTGCGGCGCTGCAATCCCCGGAACAGTGCTTGGCACGAGAAAGGATTGTCAGAAGGTTGTCGTCCAACCGGCCACTTTCCGCAATATAAGAAAATGCTTGAGCGGACCTATGAAGAGAGGGAACTTGAAGGAGTGGTTTTTGTCGCAACACCATGGGCGCGGCGAACATGTTTCGCACGCAACTTCGTCGACGCCCGAACGGTCGAAAATGTCGCTCTCGCTTCAGCGTCGCGCAGATTTTGCCTGGAAGTGGCGCTCTGGCCTCGACGCGACGCATACATTTCATTCGCCGATGTGTTGGGGCCCGCCCGAGTGGGCCTTGTCGCCCTGCTCACGCTCCGTGCGCATTTCGCTCAGAAGTGGCGTTCCAGATTCTCTCGGGCCTCCTTCTGGGGGACCTTCTGTGGGCCTATTGGGGGACCGTGGACCAGGGGATACGAGGAGGGCACGGGGGGGGAGGAGGAGGAGGAGGAGGAGGAGGAGGAGGAGGAGGAGGAGGAGGAGGAGGAGGAGGAGGAGGAGGAGGATAGAGGAAGGCGGACATGGAGGAGGAGAGGGACATGGAGGAGGAGGCGGAAGAGGAAAGAAGGAGGAGGAGAAGGAGGAGAGAGGAGGAGAAAAGGGAGGATAGAGGAAGGAGGACGTGGAGGAGGAGGACATGGAGGAGGAGGAGGAGGAGGAGGAGGACATGGAGGGGGAGGAGGAGGAGGAGGCGGAGGAGTAGGAGGAGGAGGAGGACCAGTGTAAACCCAAGAGCCATCAACGATGCTGGAATAAACCCTCACCCCAAGCTCCCTCTTAATAGGCCCTTACAACGGTTCAGATCCACTGAGGGAACTGCCTCGTTGGAAGACAACCGTTTGAAGACCCTGAGGCGCTCCAAAAACTATTATCGGGATCCCAAGGCCACGGATCAACTGGACTGTTGCGTTTCCACGGTCTTGAATCATGCCAGGACGCCATTCCTGGGACTTCAGCACCGCGAATCAACGTAACTGTTGCGCCCTCATAATCTTGAACATGTGTAAAACACCGTGTCTGGTACGTTGATCATGGGATCCCTTGAAACTCTTGCAAATATTTAAAACGAAGGTGTGCGACGCTAAAGCGAGAGCCACATTTTGAAAAGGAACCGCCCTAAATCCGTGAAAATCTTGCAATGTTCAAAACGAATGTGCGCGGCGCTAAAGCGAGAGCCACATTTTGAAAATGACCCGCCATCAATCCGTGGAAGTCTTGCAATTTGTCACAATGCATGTGCGCGGCACAATGGCGAGAGCCACATTTTGAAAACGACCCGCCATCCATCCGTGAAACGGTTACCCATGTTTAAGCTTCAGGGTCATGAATGGAGAGGAAGTCTCAGGCGAAACGCCCGGCCGCCCTTAAAAACTGGCCTCGGAGTGCGACAGAAATTGTGTACGCTTCGCGTATCCCCACCAGCCCATCTCAAAACAGCAACTCTTGCGAAGCATGCCGACAGTCGTGTTTTTCAGGCGTGTGTCCGCTCCCCTCCGCATATCTCCCCTGTTCCTCCTTCCTCCCGCCTCCTTGTACATCCTCCTTGTGGTGGGAGCGGGAGAAGGACGAGGCGGAGGAGGAGGGAGAGAAAGCCGTGGGAGGCAAGAGGGATTTAGCGGAGACGACGACCACAGCGATGATCCTAACAACGACGACACACCCGACGACGACGACGATATCGACCGCAACGACGACGACGACCACAACCGCGGCGACGACGACGACGACGACGACGACGACGACGACGACGACGACGACGAAGGCGGCGGCGACGACGACGACGACGACGACGACGACGACGACGGCGACTGGTGGGAGTCGTTGGGGCCCCTCGTGGTGTGAGTCGTTCGGCCCCATCGTCCTTGTGTGAGTCCTTCGGGCCCCTCTTCCTGGTGTGAGTCGTTCGGGCTCCTCGTGGTGTGAGTCGTTCGGGCCCCTCGTCCTGGTGTGAGCCGTTCGGGCTTCTCGTGCTTCGAGTCGTTCGGGACTCTCGTCCTGGTGTGAGTCGTTCGGGCCCTTCTTCCTGGTGTGAGTCGTTCGTGCTCGTCGTGGTGTGAGTCGTTCGGGCTCTTCGTCCTGGTGTGAGTCGTTCGGGCTTCTCGTGGTGTGAGTTGTTCGGGCCCCTCGTCCTGGTGTGAGTCGTTCGGGCCCCTCCTCTGGTGTGACTCGTTCGGGCTCCTCGTGGTGTGAGTCGTTCGGGGCCCTCGTCGTGGTGTGAGTCGTTCGGGCTCCTCGTGAGTCGTTCGGGGCCCTCGTCCTGGTGTGAGTCGTTCGGGCTCCTCGTGGTGTGAGTCGTTCGGGCGCCTCGTCCTGGTGTGAGTCGTTCGGGCCCCTCCTCCTGGTGTGAGTCGTTCGGGCTCTTCGTGGTCGGAGGCCGTCTTGGGGCCGTCTTGGGGGCCTCTTGGCGGCTCCAGGGGCTTCCAGGAGCATCTTGGGTGCCTCGGGGGAGCCTCTTGGGGCCTCTTGGGGGCCTCTTGGGGGCATCTTGGGGGCCTCTTGGAGGCCTCTCCGTAGCCATTTTGGCTCAAGCTGGGTCCTCCGCGGCGGCGCGCCTCCTGCGATGGCGGCGGCTTGGGCGGCGGGGCGCAACGGCTGCGGGGGGCTGCCAGCCTGCTGGCAGCCCAAGGCGCTCAGGCAGCAGGAGAACCTGGTTTTGGGCCCCTCTTCGGCGAGACGGGCGGCCAGGCGGCGGCGCTTGAGGGCGCTGGAGGCCTGGTGCCATGCCGTGGCGGGCCCCTGCAAGCCGGGGTCATGGCAGGACCGCGAGCGGGCGGCCAGGCCCGCTTTGGTCAGCGCGGTGGAGGGCCGGCGGGTGGCGGGCGCATCGCGCCGGCGCCGCAACGCGGCTATCCACGCAGCCTGGGTCCCTCCGAGCGGCTTCCTCAGGGCGACCGCCGAGGAGATCGCGGAGGTGGCGCAGGGACCCCGCCTGGGCTTTCAGCTCGAGGTGGAGGAGGCCGAGCACGGGAAATGCGACGTGCGCGGCTTCGCCGAGGCTGTCGAGAGCGAGAGCGAGCAAGAGAAGCGGGCACTGGTGCCGCTCAGCGCGGACTGGGAGGCGAAGCTGGAGCCCGACATCAGGAGGGGCAGCAAGTGGCTCGGGGTCGAGGGGGAAGGTCATCCACGTCGCCGAGCTCGAGCCGAAGTTGCTCAACCTGGCATGTTCTCTTTCCAGGGCCCCTTGGCGGCAGCGGGGGCGGAGGAAGGAGGACGATGATGACGATGAAGGGCCCATCCAGGAGGCGTCGGAGGACGGCGACGGAGTGGGCAAGTTTGCTGGCACGGAGGTCGGCAGCGAGGACGAGTCGGACGGCGACGACGACTCACAGAGCGTCAACCACACGGCGTCGGAGGGCACCGTGCTCAACGGCGGAGGTGGGTTGGCGCCAGGCGTTTGGCAGGAGGCCGACCAGCGAGCGGAGGCAAGGGCCTTCGCGCACAGTTTGGCAGCAGGCTGGCGGCTGGCCGAGAGGAGCGGCCACCAGCAGACCGCGAAGGAGGCTGTGGAGGTGGCAGCTCCGCAGGATGTCGACGCGCGGCGCGGGGCGATCGTGTTGATCTTCGCGCCGTGCGAGTGCGTTTCGCTGCTGCAGGAGATGCAACTGGAGCAGCCTCGAGGTGGCGGGTGAAGGCCGTGCTGGAGGGCAGCCAGCTGGGCCAGGCCATCCAGGCCTGAGGCATGCCGCCGTCTGCGGCGAACGAGTCCCGTGGCGGGATCCGCTGGGGGCTTGAGGGAGGAAAAAAAAAAGCCTCTTGGAGGCCTCTTGGGGCCTCTTGGGGCTCTTTGGGAGGGGTCTGGGAGGAATCTTGGGGCCATCTGTCGGGCGATCGATCACAGATGGGGCGAGCACTTTTCTCCCCCCCCCCGTCGGGGCCAGAATCCTCGAGAGGGGTGTCGAGTTTTAGCTTTCCCAGGAGTCGGAAAAGACCCCTCCAACGACCCGCGGAACGCCCTCTCCAGGCCCAGGGGGAGGGGGGTGGGGGAGGGGGTAGGGGGAGGGGTAAGCCCCTCCCCGAAGGGGAAGAAGGGGGGGTGAGAACAGAGAGAGCTCGCTAAACCACTCACGCCCAAAGGGCTGGTGGGATTTAGTTATAAGGAAAAGGAATGGAGGAGAAGGAGGAGGAGGAGGGAGGAGGAGGAGGAGGAGGAGGAGGAGGAGAGGAGGAGGAGGGAGAGGAGGAGGAGGAGGAGAGGGAGGATAGAAAGGAGGACATGAGGAGGAGGAGGAGGAGGAGGAGGAGAAGGAGGAGGAGGAGGAGGAGGAGGAGGAGGAGGAGGAGGACATGGAGCAGGAGGAGGAGGAGGAGGAGGAGGCAGAGAAAAGGCTTTTGGGGGGCCTCCTGTGGGCCTCTCGGGGGGCCGTGGCCTTCGCGCGCGGCGCCACAGCGGGCGGCCCGCCAGGAGCGCTCCGAGTTCCTGCCGCCGCTGGCCGCGAAGGGCGGCGCCGCGGCTGGCCTGGCGCAGGCCAGGCGCGGCCGGCCCGGGCGCGCCCGCAGACCTCGGGAACGCAGCTGCCCCGATATGGATCGGTTCGGGGAGGGTACCCTCGTGTTCTTCGTGTTTGTTGGATGGTCTTGCGCATCCTGGTGGGGATGCCCCAGATGTTCTGTGCGTTTGGGCCGCCGGAGGGATGTTCTTCTGGCCTGGCTTCGACTGTAGCTCGGGGGCGGCCAAGAGGGGGGTCATGAATGGGGGGAAATACGATGGCCTGGGCCATGATATCTCCCCTGATTTCCTGGCACCTTTTCTTCTCTCCATACGTCCCCGCCCCCTTCGACGCCCCCGAATGGCGTGTCGCTTCGCCGGGTCTGGCCCACCAACCTCCGGCGCGACACGCTATTATCCAGTCACCATCCACTTCGTGGTCCCCGAGCGTCATCGTCCCGAGCCTTTTCCGACCTCCCGCCCCACGGAGTGGAACAACTCGCTATCCGCTCGCAGGGCACAGCGTGTCGCCGGGCCCGGCGTGGCGAACACGCCATGCAAAAGTTCCCGACTCCGAATGGATGTTCGAGCATCTTCGTCGGACCCTAGAGTCGGAAAACCTTGAGAGACCTTGGCGTCCTATTTTTTCGAGCCAGGCGCCTTCGCCCGGTTCTGGACTCCAGGACCATCACGGATCGATCCAGCTCGAGCATGCCACAGGACGATGGGGTCCAAGCCTCCGGTCGTGACTTTTGACGACGCTCCACGTTGTCCGCAGCGTCGGATCTCGGGGTCTTCGTCGGTTCCCACGGGCTCTCCTGCCCCAGGATGCGTTCCAGCAGATGCGCCTCGCCTCGGGGGTGGCCAAGAGGGGAAGCTTTCGTCGGCTCCTGAAGTCGACGAACGGAAAACGGCATCAGCATAATTTCGCTGACCTCCTCGCGGATTTTTGGGATCTGCGCGTGGCCCCCCCTGGCGGCGCCTCTGGCGCCGCCCCTGTCGCGCGCGGCCGGGAGGGGTGCCCAGCCCCGATCCAAGAAATCCGTGCGGGCCTCCGAAAGTTTACGGTCGGGAGCTGCTGGTTAGCGTGTCGTTCCACCAGTTCTGGCCCACCACGCCTCGGCGTGACACGCCATCCATTTCGCGGTCCCCAGGCGTCCACGTGCCAATCTTTTCCCAGCCTCCCGCCCCGTGGAGCGGGGCGACACACAATCCGCTTGCAAGGCATAGCGTGCCGCTGGGGCCGCCGCCGCGACACGCTAGGGAAAAGTTGCCGACCGTATGTTTCATGTGTTTTGTGCCTCTGGGCGAGCCACGCCCGCGCCGGCCGGCCTCTGGAAGGAGTTTCGGGCGTCTTTGTCGGTTCCTCGGCGCTTTGGCCAGAGGGGCGGGGCATGGATACCATGGCCAAAGCCATGATGTCGCCCCAGATTTCGTGGCCTCTTTCTTCTTTCAATACGTCTCTTGGTCCCCCCCCCCATCCGTGCACATGCCTCGGGCCACGATTTGCAAGCCCCCCTCTTGGACGCCCCCAATCGGCGAGAGCGTTCCAGGGGTGCCCTGATCGTCTCGAACAAAGCCGAGGTTTCGGCTACACGTCGTAAGGGTGCCTTCTCACCGTTGTGAGGAGGAGGAGGAGGAGCAGGATGAAGAGGAGGAGAAGGAGGAGGAGGACTGGGGGCAAAGCTACATTCAAAACGCCGAGGCTCAGGAGGAGCTTTGAATTTTGAGCCGTCTCTTCGATGAAGGTCGGGGAAGCTACTCGTGGCCGAGGCTAGCCGTGGCCAGACAATAAGTTCCTTGGCTCCTTTATTCAGCGCCCCCCGTGGTATAGCGACGATTGCACTGTCGCATCGAGCGCAATGACTGGCAAGCCGCACGCCTAGGGCCACTCTTGCCTAAGATCACTCTTGCGTGTAGCATCCTTGGCCGCTGTTGCTGCTGCTGCTGTTGCTGCGGCGCATGGCCTCCTTCGTCGCTGCTGCTCCTACTCATCATCGGCATCAACATCATGACCCTGCTCCTTCTCACACTAGCCTGCTCATCCTTGCCTCCCTCCTCCTCCTCCTCGTCCTCCTCCTGCTCCTCATCATCATCATCATCAGCATCATCATCATCATCCCATCACCATCATCATCATCGTCATCATCAGCAGCATCAGCATCATCAGCATCAGCATCAGCATTGTCATCACCATCTTCCTCGTCATCAGCATGATCATCAGCATCATCATCATCATCATCATCGTCATCATCATCATCACCAGCATCACCATCATGAGCATCATCAGCAGCAGTAACAGATTCATCGACAGCAACAACTTCTTAGTCCTTACATTCCTCATCATCGTCATTATCATCCTTCTCCGCCCCCCTCCCTACCCCTCCGCTCGTGATATCAGAATCGTCGTCAGGATCAGCAGCAACACATCAAACAAACGGAGCCATCATCATCAGCAGCAGCATCATGATCATCATAACCATCAGCAGCAGCAGAATCCTCATCAGCAGCTGCATCGTCACTGTCAGCATCATCAGCATGATGCTGATGCTGAGCACCATCCGCATGATCATGACCAGCGTCAGCATCATCATCGTCATCAGCATCACTATCATCATCATCATCAGCAGCAGCATCATCATCGACCGCCGTCATCACCTATGCATCGTCATAATAATATCCATCAACACCGCCGTCAGCATGTCCCCTGTCCTGATATTGTCGTGAATACCCAGCCGCCCCCCTCAATAGAATCATCATCATCATCATCAGCAGCAGCAGCAGCAGCATCATCACCCTCATCATCGTCACCATCGTCATCGCCATCGCTATCGTCATCATCACTCATCAACACTTCATCGTCATCACCCTTCTCATCAGAAACACCGTTGTCATCCTCGACATGATCATCCTCTTCTGTCTCCCCCTCCTCCACCTCCCTCCACCAGATTCCTCCTGCCTACGCCTCCATCTCTCTCCTCCTGCTCCTCCTCCTCTCCTCCTCCTCCTCCTCCTCCTCCTCTTCTGCCTTCTCTCCTCGTTCTCCGTCTCCTCCATATCTGACTACATGCCGCTGCGCTTCCTGTGACGGTACCTGCTGCGAGGACGGGAGCGTGCGAGCGGGATTTGCAACCGGAGGGCCGTCCAGGAGGGACATGGGGAACGGGAAAATGGAAGGGGGAGGAGAGAAGGGAGCCGGGGCGGAGGGGAGGATGGGAGACGAGAGAGAGAGAGAGAGAGAAGGAAAAAAAAAAAAAAAAAAAATCGAACGAACGAGAAAGAGGGTGGTGGAAGGGGGGAGGTGGTGTGGGGAGGGTGAGGGGATGGTTTAGCAGGGAGAGAAGGAGAAGGGGAAAAGGGATCAGGTAGAACCAGAGGGACATGGGGAAAGGGAAGAATAGGAGAGGAATGGGGTGGGGAGGGGGAGGGGGAGGGGGAGGGAGAGAATGGGGGGGAATGAGCAGGAGCAGGAGCAGGAGGAGGACTGGGCAGAGAAGGAGCGCTCTGAACTCTGAACGCACCTCATGACTGCGATGGACTTGGCTTGCCGCCAAGATGGGTGAGGCAACCCTCCCCGAGCAAGGCTCGGGGCGCAGGACACGCAGTCTGAACGCAACACTACTGCAACCTTCACTGAGCCATAGTGGGAAGGGCGGGGCGCATGGTCTATTTTCATCCGATCGATCCGGTTCGATATCGACTCCGACTGGCCCGATCCAATTCGATTCCGATTGTTGTTGCGATCCGATGCGGCCCCATGCGTGCGTGGCTCTGATGTGCATCCTTGCGCAGCCAATGCGATTCGATTCCGACTCCGTACCGATGCAGCCCGATGCGACGCTCATTACGGTTCCGATCTATTCCCGATTCGATGTTGGCAGATTTTGGGGTGCAGTCCCTAGCTACCTTCGGGCGCCCCATAAACGGTGTGGTGACCACACCGCGTGGTTAGTCCGTGGGGATTCGAGGTCACTGCGCGGTTTTTGGATTCTGGCCGTTCTCCGAGGATGTCTCGGGCAATTGGAGCCTCTAGGATAAAAAATGTGCGCTTACGGACCGCGCGGTGATTACAGCCGGACCGAGTGTATAAGATCGAGGTCGGTTTGTGGAGGGTGTCCTGATGTTCTTCGTGTTTGTTGGATGTTCTTACGCATCCTGGAGAGGGTAACCTTGGACGTTCTGTGTGTATTCGCCGGCGGATGGTCTCACCTTCTTGAGGGATGTTCTTCTGGCCTAGGTCCGACTGCAAGGCCTCCCAAATGGGGTCCGGGTAGATGGGGTCGAAGGATCGTTCCACATCGACGATGCATCGACGATGCGGCTCGATGTGCACGCCGAAGGCGCTGATGCATCGGCGATGCATTGGCAATGCGGCGCGATCCTCCGACACCATTTACTCGGACCCCATCTAGGAAGCCTCTAGGTGAGGTCTCTCGGGATTCCGCGGTCACCGTTCGGTCATCACCACGCGGCTCTGGGACCCCGAATACAGTCGCATTTCGTCAGTAGGTCGACCCTGCCAGATCAAGGTTCCCCATCGTGTCTTGTGTGGTTAGCGGCCCATGCCCAGCACATTCCTCTGGCAGTGTGGCCTTCGGACTGGTCCAGCTGGGTCGAATTCCGTATCGGGTGAGGCAGCCACTTTGATGTTGTGTTCATGCATTGGGTGAAATTCGGCGGCGAGCCCGGGGGGAAGTGAGAAGGTGCGGGCATTCTCAGAAGGCTCGGAAGTCCCCCAGCCTTTGAGAAGTTTCTTAAGCCTTCCCGAAGACACAGAACAGTTCTCAGAAGGCACGAGGGTGTCCGAGAAGTCCCACCGCCTTCTGGGAAGGCCTTCTCTTTCCTACTTCCCCCCCTCGCTCGCTGCCGATCCTTGTGCCCTCTCATTCGACGGCTTCGTTACGAACCTCTTCGAGCGAGGTGGTCACCGAAACCACGGCGTCAGGGCTCCGGCCGCCCTGCGCTGACACTCCAGGACCCCCGTCCCGCGGATCTTTGCGCTACGCTTCGCTTCGGATCGCCCTGTGCCGATCCGATACGTTGCGTGTTGGTTCAACGCAATCGGGGCCCAGTCCCCCCACGTGAGCACTTACGGTGCGGGCTGGCACGACGACGGCTGGCGTAGCGCGCCGGCGTTTCTCCTCCCTGTTCGCTTCTTCCCCCCCCCGCTCGCTCCCCCCCCTCCAATGGCGGCAGCGCCCGGCACTGCGCGGCTTCGGCCTGGTGCCGGGCGCTGCACCTTGCCGCCTCGGCGGCACCGCTCGCCATGGCGCTGCGCGGCTCAGGCCCGGCCCTCTGCATGCGGATGTCAGCGCATCGTGTGTGGCTGCTGCCCGTCTCCACGCGCTGACGGTGCAGGGCTGGTTTTCTCCCTGCACTCCTCCGACATCCTGTCGGTCATGTGCGGCCCCCTCGTCCGTGGCCGCACCTCAAGCAGGCTACTACCTGGTCGTGGATTGGACTACCACCCTGGGCCTCTTCAACGTCACCCGGTGGCACAACGTTGCACATCGCCTTCGTGGTGCTCTTCTTCTTCCTGGGCCTCCTCCGCATCATCCGGTGGCACAACGTTGCTCATCGCTTTCGTGGTGCGCTTCTCCCTCCTTGGCGTCGACCTGGTCAAGTGGCGCGTCCTCCTCCGCAGTGTTTGAGGCTGGCGTTCGCGACGTGCCGTTGACGGCTACACCATCTCCTTCGCCTTCCGGGTCTTCGCCCCCGGTCCTCGTCCGCGGCGTACATTTTCCTGTGCAAGCTCTTCGGCACCGCCTGCACCCCGGGCCCCACCTGCTCCCGCCGCCTAAGGCCCCGCCTTCCTGCGCCCTGTCTCCTTAATTAAAGCTGCGCGCAACCCGCCTAGCTAGTAGCGGAAGAGGTTCGTTCTCGCCCCGCAGACCAAAAAAGTTGGCTCAACGGATTGGCCCACTTGTTGGCGAACGTATCGCGCCACACCTACGCGTTCAGTCTACGTGTTGGGCTCCGTATGAATACGCTACGTGTTGATTGCTGCGTATCGAGGCAGCGAAGGTCCGTACGGAGTCAGTGCATACGGAGTCGCGCTTGGTCTCCGTCTGGGCTTACTCCGTCTGGATTTAGCCTCTCCTGAGTCAGACCAGTCCCGCGGATCTGCGCGCTTCGCTTCGCTCGCCCTGTGCCATCTCGCGTGTCCTCTTCAGTCACACTCGACTGGAGAGGACACGCGAGAGGAGTCCCCTTGCAGGGACGACTCGCGCGTTGATCCTTCGCTCGCCCTTGTCAGACTCGACTGCGCCGGAGGCCACCCACAGGGCTGCGGAGGTGGCCAAGATCGTTTCGCGCGGCGCGGCCTTGTGGCATGGATGGGCGCCCGTCTTGCCAGGAGGGGGTGCCAACGCGGGCGGGGGCGAGGACGGCCGCGCCGCCGCGCGCCTCGCACGAAGGGGCGGAGGTGAAGGAAGCGGTGAAAGCTAACGGCGTCGTCTTCGCCGACACTGGCGCGCAGGCTGCCCGCGTAGGGTCGCGCGTGAGCGCCCTCGTTTTCGGTGTGGTGTGCCGCGCCCCCTTGCCCGCGTGAGCCGCGGCGCAAGGTCGCCGTGCCATCTCGCATAAGGTCCGTTTCTTTTTGTCGCTCAGCTGGCCGAGATTGCAACCTAGGCCAAGGAGTTGCGGCAGCGGCAGCAGCAGCAACTAGGTCATAACAGTGGCGTCTGTATCTGCGCTAGCTTTCATGATTGCGCAGCTTGGCACACTTGCGGGGTGTGCTGCGGGCGTCTGGCATAATAACAGCAATCAGGATGACAATAACAAGATGCAGTCAGGAACGTTTGCTTAGCGCGTCGCGACGCCGGTTCTGGCCCACCGCCCTTCGGTGCAACACGCTCATCACGCCCTGGTCCCTGGAGCAGAGCGACACGCTACCCGCTCGCGAGGCACAGCGTGTCGCCGCGGCAGCCGCCGCGACACGCAGGGCGGGAGCTCCTGGCCGTCCAGAGAGCAGCAGCGGGAGGCGGCGGAGGGAGCCCGGGCCCAGGTGCTGGAGACGCTCGGCCGCTTCCCGTTCCAGAAGAACGAGGTCGTCGTGCACCACGACCCGAGGCCAGGGCCCCCCCGCGCCCTGCCCTCCCGAGGGCGGGAGGGCTCTGCGGCTGCGACCGGGCGAGCCCTGGCCTCTGCCGCTGCCCACTCCCTCTCGCCGTGCGAAGAGGCTCGAGGGGAGGGTCTCGCGTCATTGCTCAGGATCGTTTGACCTATCCCCACCAGGCCATGGCATCTCGGCCGGGCCATCCCACCTCCCCTGTTGGGGATGCGCCCTTCGAAGCCCGAAGGGACCAGCCTATAAGTATCCCCATCTGGGCAGGTAAGTCGGCCAGTGGGGCCAGGCCACGCCAGTGGGGATAGGGATCGGTGCAACGATGCTCAATGGTCGGCCTCTGGGGCTGGTTCCGGGGAAGGGGTCCAGACCTGCAGGGCTCTGCGTTGCAACAAAAAGCACGACGCCGGGGATCTGGGCCTGCCCCAGCGCCACCGAGACGGGTGCTCAGTAACGGGTGCGCTGGCAGCAAACAGCCGCCTTCGAGGGACGCTAGGCGCGAGGCGCCGTCAGACGTTCGGGCCTGAGCTGGCATTGGACGGCACTCACAGGCAGTGCAGCCGAGCTCAGGGACGGGCGCTGCTCGTGCGGCGTGCACTGAGCAGCAGTGGCTTCGGCAGCGAGCGGAGAGGCGGCAGGAAAGCGCCACTTCCGCGCGGGGCGGTGCATCGGCCAAAGGCCCCGCCCACTGAGTACCCATCAGGGTAGCGCGGGTTGCCGCTGGGAGAGCGGAGCGCCCCAGAGGTCGGGCGCCTCGATCCTGCGAGCCCGCTGCCGAGCCGCCAGCTCGGGAGGATCGGTGCAGGGAGGGGCGCTCGGGTCTGCCATGGGGCGGGCCAGGTCAGACGGGGCGTGCACGAGGATGAATCCGTTCCAGAGCGGTCTCAGAGCGTTCCGGAACGCTGTGAGAAGGCCGCGGCGCCCGAGACATCCTCCAGGGCCGCCCGATCCCAGAGGGAGGTTCTCAATTTACCCTCACCCGATTTGATCCTCGTCCTGACTTCGTCTTACTTGGGCATATGGACATAACATACTAAATAACCTCTTTTGCAGGCACGTCGTCGGATAGGAGGAAAGGCGGTGCGTGGGATGAGCCGCGCCGAATGTGTAGAAGGCAAACGGTGCCAGCATGATGTCGACCCTCTACATGCGCTGGACATGAACGAAACAAACACTAATGTTGACAGCGTGCATCACAAAACAGAGACCCTAAGGAGTTGCATGGTTCAGACACAGTGGGGCACGTTTACAGAACATTGTGCTCGCCCGCTGTAATTTGAGATTCGCCCGCTTGAGACGTATATCTCGAAGTGCGCGTTCATGTGGCATACGTTGATTCCGTTCCTCACATTGGATTGCGTAACACGCTTGAGTTGCGGGACTCCGTACCCACGTATGGCGTCGTAGCCATATGACCATGGATGTGTCTGGCCGTAAGAACTACCTGTGCGCGCGAACCGCCAGAGCGCGAACCTGGCCAGCCGAACCCGAACATTGGCACGGCACGGTTCTCACAGAGCGCACCGTTCGGCCACGCGCAGAGGGGGGGTTGGGGGGGGAGGTTTCTTAGAAGCACCTTTGCTTCTTAGAAGGCCCAGGCCCTTGTCTGCAGATGTAGGGCCAGCGCCCTCTAAGCAACCGCTTCCTTCTAAGAACCCTTGCGCGTGCCCCTGAGATTTCACGTCTCGGCAAACATGCAGCATCGCGAAATGTCACGACCAGCGCCCTGGACCCCATCTTTCTGCGCCATTTTTCGAGCTGGGCCGATGTGTGAGGGTCCAAGGACCCGAAATGATTCTAAAACGCCCGCCTCGAAAAAATTGCGGCGCCAGGATCTCAGGGGCCGCCAACGTGTTTCCACCCTGGCTCGAGCGGACCTCGCGCCAGCGCTTGCGCGCGGCGGCGCCTTACCGGCGTCCAGGAGCGGCCCAGGAGCACCAGAGGGCGCCAACTGCTTTCCTGCACCGCTCCAGGCGAGGCCCAGGGTGACCCTGGGCCTCGCCGCGCCGCGCCCTCCTGGCTTGGCGAGCACGGCATATACGCCAATCCTTGGCCCAGGATCGGCCTGGCCAGGATCGGTGCACGTGGTGCTTCTTTGTCGCAGCGTGCACGCCCAGAGATCTGGACCCTTCCCCGCGGGACCGGATTTTCATCCCGAGGCGATTTTGATTGTATGAGGGCCCGGTGTGGGCCGAACCCGGCCCAACATTTGGCCCCCTCATGGTCTCTCTCCGCAAAGAGAGGAGGCAGGGGTAAGCACCCAGACATGCGACGTCTTGATTTTTTCAGGACGGCGTCCCTGGAAGTCGCGACCCTTTCCCTGGGACCGGTTTTTCGTCCTGAGTCGTCTTTTGACGGCCCTGGGGCCCGGCGAGGGCCCCCCGGGGCCGAACATAGCAAAACAAATCCGTCCCGAATTTTCCCAACCCTCCTGCGTTGGGTTCTCGTTTTGACAGAGCACTGCTCGCGCGAACCTTCCCACCCACCCCCCGTCCCTCTCTTCCCCCCTGCCTTTCGCCTCGCTAGTCGCTGCGTGCCAGCTGGGGGGCTGCGATCTGTGAAACTGTCGCCACTTTCGAGGGCTGCTGGGGGGCCCAGCGCAGTGGGTACCCACGGCGGATTCAAATGGGACCTCGCCATCCCTGGGGGGCTGCGATCTGTGAAACTGTCGCCACTTTCGAGGCCTGCTGGGGGGCCCAGCACAGTGGGCACCCACGGCGGATTCAAATGGGACCTCGCCATCCCTGGGGGGCTGCGATCTGTGAAACTGTCGCCACTTTCGAGGCCTGCTGGGGGGCCCAGCACAGTGGGTACCCACGGCGGATTCAAATGGGACCTCGCCATCCCTGGGGGGCTGCGATCTGTGAAACTGTCGCCACTTTCGAGGGCTGCTGGGGGGCCCAGCACAGTGGGCACCCACGGCGGATTCAAATTGACCTCGCCATCCCTGGGGGGCTGCGATCTGTGAACTGTCGCCACTTTGAGGGCTGCTGGGGGGCTCAGCACAGTGGGCACCCACGGCGGATTCAAATGGGACCTCGCCATCCCTGGGGGGCTGCGATCTGTGAAACTGTCGCCACTTTCGAGGGCTGCTGGGGGGCCCAGCACAGTGGGTACCCACGGCGGATTCAACTGGGACCTCGCCATCCCTGGGGGGCTGCGATCTGTGAAACTGTCGCCACTTTCGAGGGCTGCTGGGGGGCCCAGCACAGTGGGCACCCACGGCGGATTCAAATGGGACCTCGCCATCCCTGGGGGTTGCGATCTGTGAAACTGTCGCCACTTTCGAGGCCTGCTGGGGGGCCCAGCGCAGTGGGTACCCACGGCGGATTCAAATTGAACCTCGCCATCCCTGGGGGGCTGCGATCTGTGAACCTGTCGCCACTTTCGAGGCCTGCTGGGGGGCTCAGCACAGTGGGTACCCACGGCGGATTCAAATGGGACCTCGCCATCCTTGGGGGGCTTCGATCTGTGAAACTGTCGCCACTTTCGAGGGCTGCTGGGGGGCCCAGCACAGTGACCCACGGCGGATTCAAACGGGACCTCGCCATCCCTGGGGGGCTGCGATTTGTGAAACTGTCGCCACTTTCTTACTCAAATGGGACCTCGCCATCTCTGGGGGGCTGCGATATGTGAAAGTGTCGCCATTTTCGAGGGCTGCTGAGGGGCCTAGCACAGTGGGTACTCACCGCAGACTCAAATGGGACCTCGCCATCACTGGGGGGCTGCGATCTGTGAAACTGTCGCCCCTTTCGAGGGCTGCTGAGGGGCCCAGCACAGTGGGTACTCACCGCAGACTCATATTAGACCTCGCCATCCTTGGGGGGCTGCGATCTGTGAAACTGTCGCCACTTTCGAGGGCTGCTGAGGGGCCCAGCACAGTGGGCTTCCCGCACGTCTTTTTCCTGCTCTTCGTCCCCGACTCGCCATGTCTTCTTCGAGCCTGTAGTTGTCGCCCCTCGTTTTTGTATGGTTTTCCTGCGCATCATGCCATTGGCGCGTGTCCCAAGTAGCTTACATATCAAACAACGGATCCTGCAATTTGATGGTCCGTGCAAGTTTCGGCCAACTCCTCGTTTCCCATGATACAAATGGGTTGGGTACGTCACAGGGTAATTTTACGACGCGATCATGTCTGGGTAGGCGTACAGTTGGGGCCCTCCGAGGAGCAGGGCAGCCATGGCCCTGGGCGAGGCGACTTCCGGCCCCTGCCAGACGGGCTTCCCGCTGGGCGCCGCGCAGGCCCTCGTCGGCGAGCCCCGCCCCGCCGAGCGAGTCGCCGTTGCGCCGAGCGCACTGGCGAGGCTGGGCGAGGCCCTCGGGGGCAACGATAGGGGGGACGGGTACGCGTGGAGGGGGGACGCATCGACCCTCCTCCTCCTCCTCCTCCTCCTCCTCCTCCTCCTCCTCCTCCTCCTCCTCCTCCTCCTCCAGCACGCGGGGGGGGACGCATCGACCCTCAACTGGCCACTCCTCGCCGAGGGAGGCCCGATGGCGCGGACCCGCTATTGGGGCCCATCGCCGATCTATATCGGCGACGCCTCGCCGAGTCCAGGTCGATGTTTGCCAGTCGCCCCCCCCCTATCACCCCTATCGTTGCCCAGAGGCCTGGGGGGCCGCCGAGCACCTCCCGACCGGCCCCAGCAGCGCGCGGGCGAGGTGGGCGCAGCGTGCGCGGCCAGGCTCGGCGTCGTCGGCACGGGCGCCAGCAGAGGGGCGCGGCGCCGAGCACCACCCCGGGCTGCTCTCGCGGCTGGCGGAGGACATCTCTGGCATGGTCCACCAGGCCCGTGGGGCCTCGCGCGAGCGCCTCGTCCAGGCCGACCACCCCGATCCCCCGAGCCGCTCAGACGACCTCCGCGCCTGGCCGCGCGAAGCTTCCGCACGCCCTGCGGCAGCCGTGCCCCCTCCCGCGGTGGAGCCTGCCGCGCAGATGCACGGCCTCCTCGCCAGCATCGCGCACCGGGAGGCCGCCCTGCACCTCAAGGTGCAGCAGCTGACAGAGGAGAAGGCGCTGCAGCAGCGCAGACTCGAGGGCGAGCTGGCGCGGCTGCAGAGGTCCAACGCGCTGATGGAGCAGGAGCTGCTCGCGAGGGACCAGGCGGAGCTGCACGGGGCCCCGAGTCACTACGATCCTCCCTGGGCTGCCACGGCCAAAGGCGACGCGGCAAGCCTGCGGGCCCCAGTGAGCCGCACTGACCCCGAAGGCTCGGCCAGGCCCGCCCCCGCGCCACAGGCGGCGCGCCCGCCAGCGGCGCGCGCCGCTGCGCTCCCCCAGGAAGTGCAGGAGCAGCTGCAGCAGCAGCTGGCCCTGATAAGGGGCGAGGTGGCGAGGTGTGCGCAGGCGCTTCAGCAGGCGCCCAGCGCGCTAATGTCGGCCGAGGCTGCAGACGTGAGGCAGCAGCTGAGTGAGCTGAGCAGCGAGGTCCGGCAAACGTCCCAGGACCTTCTTGCCAGCAGCGACGCAGCCTCAGGCGGAGTCCAGGAGGTGGGCCAGCTCAGGAAGCAGCTCGCGTCACTTCGGGGCCAGATATCGGGCACTATGGCGCAGGCGCAGGCGCTGGCCCAGGCGGCGGCCACCGCCGTTGAACCAACGCCCGTAGAGCCTGTCGGGGAGCCTGCCGCCACGCCCGCGACGGCGCCTCCGACGGTGGAGGCAGTGGAGGCACCGTCCAGGCTGCAGTCCGACGACGAACTTTCTCGGCTGCGGGCAGAGGTGGGCAGCCTACGCGCCGAGCTGGCGCGGGCTGGGCTCCAGAGACAGGCAACCCACGCCAGTGGAAGCGGCGCCGGGTGCGCGCGCTCGCAGGCGGACGGACTGCGGCGGTTGCCCGGACCGCCAGCGACGCTGGCCACTAACGCGGGCGGGGGCGGAGATGTTGTCGCCTTGCAGGCGCGTCTGGCCATGCTGCGGGCAGAGGCGGCCGCGGCCCTCAGCAATCCGGCGCGCACGGGCACAGCGGGCCCATTGCCGCCCGCGCTGCAGGCGCAGGTGGAGGCCTTGCTGCAGGAGCTGCAGGTTGTCAAGTCTGGCGCCAGCGCCCTGGTGGCCTCGGGCACCGGCTCTTCAGCCTCGGCGACCGCAAGCGGTTGGACCACGCCCGCGTCTCCGATGCACCCGTGCGTGCCCCCCCGGGCCGCAGCGCCCCAGGCGGCGTGGTGGCCGCCAGAGGCCGCGGGGGGGCTGGCTGGGAGCGGCCCTGCCCAGCCCCACGCGGGAGCGGAGCTGACCGCAGCAGGCCGGTTTGTCGACGTGGGCCCGTTGGGCGGTGGCTGCTGCGGGTCCCTGCCCGCCGACGTGGCCCTAGAGGGCACAAGACCGCTCCTGTGGCCCCAACCCGCGGTCGATGCGGGGGCCGGGCTCTCGCACGGCCTTCCAGTCGGCGCCGTGGCACCAGCGCCAGCCGTCGAGAGCACGAGCAGCAGCTTCGGCGGCCTTGCCGGCCCCGTGAGGGCCATGCCCCTGGGCCTGCCCGAGAAGCCCCACCGTGACGCCAAGGGCGCAGCGCTGGACTCGCACCGTGGCGCCTGGGTGGCCGACGCGCCCTCTGGTGGGCCGGGCGGCCCTGGGGCGGCACCCGCCGTCGCCGCGACGCCTTGGGGGACGCGGCCGCTGCCGTGGCCAGCTGCCAGCCCCTTCCATTCGGTTGCACGTACCCCGGTTTCAGGCGCCTCGACGAGGTCGAGACCGAGTTTCCCCGTCGTTCTCAGCCTCTCGGGGCCCTCACCAGGCCTCGGGGCTGTCAAAAAACGACTCGGGACGACGAAGCGGCCCCGGGGAAGTGGTCGAGCGGTCGGGGGCCCGTGTCTCGAAGAAATCGAGACGTCAGATGTTCGGGTGAGAGTGACTCGTTGCTGGATTGACATTGGGTGCCCGGCTTTCGGGGTGCGCTGCGGCTCCAAGCCGAAGCACGTAGGCCCGTACTGTGGCACCGCATGCGACGGCTGGCAAGGCGCGCACCAAACGTCACTCTTGCCTGGGGTCACTCCTTACGTGCAGCCGACCCATGCGGGGTTCCAGGGTCCTGGGGCGGCACCGTCGGGGCCAAAGGACAGTGCGCCGCAGGTCGCCGTCGGGCGGCCGACGCGGTCGAAGATCAATTAGCCAGAGGAGTGCTGCTCATCTGAGGCGCCACGCTCCGGCGCGCCGTCGGTCAGAAGTCGCTGGGGGGGGCGAGAAAGAGCATGCGGCCGGATGCTCGGTGGCAACTCTGGATCGGCACTGGACCCCCCTCCCAGCCTCTCCGCGCGCTCGGGAGGGGGAGCCAGCGCCGATCCAAGGAGTCCGCGCGGGCCTCGGAAAGCTCCCGCGCATGACGGTCTGTCGTGTCTGGCCTCCCCGGGATCTTCAACGAGCCTCGGGACCGCCAACAAACGACCCATGATTAAACAAATTGGCCACGGGGGATGGCCCCCCTCAGGACCCGACGCTTTATTCATGGTAATTGAATCGTCCCAGATCATTCCGCGCCGCTCTCAGCGCGGTTCTCAGAGATTCCCGATGTAGTAAGGCTTCGGGTTGCGCACAGACGGCCCACCCACGTGGTCCCAGCAGGCCTCAAAGTAGCCCCAGTTGGCTTCAACAAACCCCAGGGCTGTTGAGGCCAACCCGGACTATTCGAGGGGTATGTTGAGGCCAGCCGGGATTGCCGCGGGGGTTCCGTGCGCAACCCGAAGTTTTACCATCCCGATGCATCCTCATCCGAATGTGTCCTCGCCCTGCCTTCGTCTGACAAGGAAGGCTGTCCAGGGTGTCCACGGCTCGGTCGGGTCGGCTGCGTCCAAGTCCGTGTCGTTCGGTCCCTTCGGTATAGTCGGTAGCTGTGCCGTTGCTGCGTCGTTCCGCCCTTCTCTGCTGCAAGCGGCCTATCGGTTTCGGTATGTACGGCTCGGTTTTACTGTCGGTTCGGTCGGTGTTCGATGGTGTCGTGGCCGTGGACGTCTATGGTTCTGGATAAGATAAACCAGTGCCAGGCGTCGTGAGCTTGCCTCAGATCTTTCACGTTGGAGCCCATGTGGATCTGTCCATATGGTGTAAGCAGGGACGAGCAAGGAGTACCGTAAACGAAGCAGCGGGGGGCGGGTGATGGTAGCACGGGTGGTGTTATAACGAAGTAGCGGGGGGAAACCAGACGTACATCTGGGTCGATGTTTCCAAGGTGGGTTGTTGCAGAGCAACTGTTTCGCTACATGACCGTACATTGGAGTATCTTTCTGGCGCCTGGAATGTTGTAGCGGTCTGGTTAAATTGGGGTCTGCCCAGGAGACTGACAAAGGCGGACAGGGAGATGCGGGCAGCATCAGTAGATTGAACGAAGAGGCTTGCCAAGGCGCAGGACGATGTACATCTGGTGGGAACCAGTCCACTCGGGAGCTTACATGACTAAGGTGCTTGTGCCTTTGATCGAGTTCGGGCGGCGACGCTAGGGATGATACAGACTTGGATGCATTGACAGTGGCCAGGATTATCCCACGCTGGTTTTGGACACCTTTTGAACCCCAAGACTCCTCGAACAGCTGTCGCTTTTGCTGCGCGGCAAACGCTGACCACGTTAGGGCACTGGGCATGTCTCAAGTTCACTAGCCTGAGTTTTGAACGTCTGCCCTCAAGCATGTCCGCCTGCTGGTGGATCGCACGAGAGCCATACTGCGGCCTCCTTGTGGCCATCCTCGAAGCAACATCAGAACAACATGGGCCACCTTGCGCGAAATGTGCGGCATCTTCTGGGCCACCTTGGGTAAATCCTGGTCCATGTAGGTCGGGACCAGCCTGGAGCTATACGGCGCGTTCCAAAATGGGCCGCCCCCTCGGCGCATCCTCACCCTCGGCGGAAGGCCAGCTGATGGCTGGCGGAAGCCAGCAGAAGCAAAATGGCAGCGTGGAACGCCAGGTGCACGTGGAGCCCCACGTGAGCGGAGCACCGTTCGCGCGAAGTCGCTAGTGCGTGGAACGCAACGCGTGTGGAGTCACATGTGCGTGGAGTGCGCCGTGGGTTGGCCCTCCCTCTTCCTACGCCTTCTTCCTCTTCCCCCTCCTCCTCCTCCTCCTCCTCCTCCTCCTCCTCCTCCTCCTCCTCCTACTCTTACTCCTACTCCTACTCCTACTCCTACTCTTCCTCCTCCTCGACACGACACAAGACAATCCGACGACACTGGCTGCGAATGGTGGCTGGCATTTGCAGTCAGGGTTTCGCCCCACCCTTCGCAGGTCCCCAAGGGCCCCGCCCCTGGCAGCACCGCGCGCTCGCCTCGCCTCCACTCCGTTTCCTCCTCCTCCTCCGCTTCCTCCTCCGTGGCCATTCGGGATCAAAGTTATGTGTTCCGCAGGGGAACAAGTGGATACCGCTGATCCGCGGCCAGACCACAAAGTGTTCTCCCCCCTCGACCCTCGTAACGAGCCGTCTGGCGTTCACGAGTCTGGGGGCCCGTCGGCGGTGGGCTGTCTGGGTAAGCGGTGGTGTTTCCGTACTCGCCTCGTCCAACGCCATCATGGGGGTGAAGAATAAGAAGCTCGGCAGTCCGAGGCGTGGCAAACATGATGAGACGAAGTGAAAGAAGGACAAGGCGAATGATGAGGGACGAAACCGCGATCGAGACCGCGAGCGAGGCAAAGCCGCTCGACACCCCCCGTTTCCCTCAACAGGAGGATCATGCTCACGTACTCCCCAGCGTTCGCCACCTCCGCGGAGGTCTGCTCGCCGCGGTGAACTTGATAGGCGTGCTCGCGCTGCTGCTGATGATAAGATATCTCGTGATTCACAAGTCGGAGATCGTGTCGATGAACGCTTGCTTCAGACAGCAGATGATGCACCGGCCTTCCCTGGTGGGCGAGATCACACGACCTCCTACCCCACGACATGTCGCCACTGGTACACCAATCATCGGAGGCCCTGCCACACCCAAGAATGCAGCTGGTGGTGCCAGCTCGTCAAGTGGACCTTTTCCGCGGCCCTCTGGTGATCCATGGGCAAACGGCGCCGACTCTGGTCGTCTTTCCGACTCCATCGTCCTTCCCTCCGATTCCGGCTCCCTTCTCTCCCACTCCAGCTTCCTTTTCTTTTGTAATTCTGGCTCCCATGTCTCTGGCTGCGGCTTCCGCCGATTCCAGCTCCAACTCCTGCCGCCAACACGTCTCCTGAGGGCTCTGGCCCCCCCGCGCTACCCTCTGTGGGCCAGTCCCGCCGGACCGACATCGCGCGCTCGCCTCGCTCGCCTCCTATAAAATCAAAGATGCGGGGATCCAGGATTTCACCCAAGCGGCGATGGCTTCCGTTTGGGAAAAGTACCCAACGCGCTTGCCAAAACGACTGGCCCGCTCCTCCACATGTACGAAGATAAGATCAACCAGAAAGCCAGATCATTGCAGCAGCAGGTGAGTTCACACGGTGCCTAGATAGCCAGCATGGAGGAGAAACTACGACCTTGGAAGGACGATCGGCGCATCTCGAAAAAGAGTTGGTTTTCTCGAAAGTTAAGCCGGGATACGCCCCTTTTGTGGCAGGTGGCTGGGCCAGGGTCGTAGATCTGATGACCATAGTGGTGCGTGTCTGCGAGGTGGTGACCAAGTCTTCAGTGCAGACGGCCATCATCGAATGGTTGCAGGCCGCCAACATGTTAATCGGCACTGAGGTTGAGCTTCAAGGAGATGAGATTGGTAAGCAGCCCGCGTTGGTCATTCAATGCCCCTTGCCAGCTACTCGTGAGTCCAGGCGCCTGCAGGAGGAGCCTGGGCATCAACGCCTTCATCGATCGCGGGAAAGGCCAACTTCTGGCGAAGTGGGAGCCGCTCGCGAAGGTCACGCCATCCCCACCCACTTGTGTCCCACGCCTGGAATGCAATCCTGCATCAGCAAGGAAGCAGCCCATAATCTTGCCGAGAAGACGCTCGTGGCGCGCGGGGTGGAGCTGCGTGGGTCACACCCTTCTTGGTCACAAATATAGATACGCATGGCCAGTTGGAATTCCAAAGCACTGCTCGACTATGTCTCTGCTGCGGCGACGACGCGTTTGGGCGCGCCGAGGAAGCTCGCTCTCGCCGACTCAATCGCCGCTGCATCAGAGACTCACGGGGGCGAGGGCGCCGTTCGAGAGGCTCCGCAGCGCGCTGCCGTCGCCTACCACCGCCCCTTCCACTCGCGCGGCGGTGTCCCCCGTGCAGGCGGGCTACTTGCTCTCGTTCTTGATGCTGCGTCGCTGGAAATGTTTCCGGAAGTCGCTGCTCCTGGGCGCATCAGGTCACTCTGCATATTTGGCGGGGCCAGTGGGTTTACGTCGTTCCGCTGGAACGCGCGCAACCGCGACCTGGGTCGAAGATCTTCGTCGCGCGCAAGGCGCTATTAACGAGCCAAGATTGCATGTCCGCTGGGCTCCCGAGCTCTCCTCGCAGGTGAAAGCAGCGATTGCAGCATCTGCGCCCCGAGCTCTCCTCGCAGGTGAAAGCAGCGATTGCAGCATCTGCGCTGAGCAGGGAGAGCGCGATGCCGCCTTTGCTCGCGATGCGCAGGCCCCTGCTCGAGCCGCCACTTCGACTCGCGCGTCTGCGCGGGCAGCGCCGTCGAGGGCGGAGCGGCCTGGCGAGAGCATCTGGACGTTTCTCTCTTTGGTCTCTTCACAGGCTTGGCGCTGGATGCGCGCGCGCACTGGCGCGAGGGCACGCAGTCGGCAAGAAACATAGACCGCTGCCCCACGCACCAAACCCACCCCCCTGGCCCCCCCGCCAAAGATTCCAGGCCTCCCAACGCGGCCCGCGTCTCAGGAGCTACTCAAGGCAAGCGTCTCGGATCATTCGCCACCCGCGGCGACGCGGGGCCCGCGATCGCCCCCCTCGCCGAATCGGCCGCGCCCTGTCCCCGCGCGGGCGCGCTTTTGACCCGCCGCGTGGGGAAGTTGTCAAGGAGCTGGGGGGGCGCGGCAGGCGCCGCCGGTCTAGCTCGCGACCCCCCCCCCCTGGACGCCCGAGCCGGCGACCGGGGCCCGACGACGCGCCGGGATTCTGTTGCGTCTCCAATCGTCACCTACCTCTCTCTACGCCCTTCTCGGAACCTCATCTACCTCTCTCTCTCTCTCTCTCTGCGCGGGCTCTGGCTTCGAGATCGATTGCTCGACGCGCACGGAGACATGGTGCGGGGCGAGCTCGCGATCTTATGTTGCAACAACCGCGGTTGCATAAAGTCATCGAGATTCCCTGCTCGGCGGCTGCGCTTCGGGATCCAGACGCTCGAGGTGGCAGCTCGCTTGGGAGCTGCCCCCAGTGGTCGCGATTGCGTCTCCGGACAGAAGCGCGCCGCGGCGCGGGCGGCGCAGCTGCGAAACCCGCTGCCGCGTCGGGAACACCTGCCAGGTCTCGCGGGCGAGGAGAGCGGGGAGTTGGAGGCGGCAATCGCAGGCAACGGGAAGGAGGCGAAGGCGGAGCTGGCGGAAGGATTTGCCAACTGTCGGGGACCTATTCTCACGGGCGCCCCTGGTCCCCAAAGGAGGGGCCCTGGATCTTCAGAGGTTCTCAAGCGACGTGGGCTTCTCGGATACGGCAGGTTCGCGTCGTGCCGACCGGCGGCGACTCCAGCGCGCGCGTTTAAGGTTGAACGCCGCCCGTGGCTCAGAATCGGCCCGTCGTTGAATGATCCGGCGTTAACGGAACGGCCGATCCTTCAAGTTTGAACGATCCCCGCGGTGTGAGGAACCAACGCCGGGGTCGACACGACGCGAACCTGCCGTATCCGCCCGCCCGTGGACCAGGATCCCCGTCGCGGGTTGAATTTTCCTGTGCGGTCTGCTCCAGGCCCCGACGGTCTACACGATGCCTCGTAGAAGGTCGGGCTGGGCCCGTCCGTCCTGCTCGAGGTGCTGCGGTGGATCGCCGCCGCGAACCGCATGGACTCGGATTCTCCTCCTCCTCCTCCTCCTCCTTTTCCTCCTCCTCCTCCTCCTCCTCCTCCTCCTCCTCCTCCTCCCGCACCCCGAGCGGAGGTCGGCGGGCAGATTCTGACACGCGCCCCTCGGGCCTGAAAATGGGAGCAACAAAGGTCGTCTGCGCGGCCCTCAATCGGCGCGCGCACCCCATTATCCCGCAGATCGCGGCGAAGTCCCAAAACGGGTTCATCAAGCATCGCAGTGTCTCAGATAGCGTGGTAGACCTGGACATGCACACGAGATCTGCCAGCGGTCCCTCCCAGGAACAGAAAACTTACACCCCCTATCTCATCGCTTTCGACGTTGCTCGGGCGCTCCCGTTCCGAAAGCCAAAGTTGGCTGCTCCCATGCCTGAAGCACTTCAGACATCTTCGGCCTCGTATACCCAGCGCTGCACGCGCTCCATCATCTCTCGCCGTGCTATTTGGGGGGGGGGCGTCTCTGGAGCCGATGTACTTCACGCGTTCTGGGACCATTCAAGGGCGCCCCCATGGGTGGCTCGCTTTGCGTTTTTTTTTCCGCGGCTAACGCCTTCATCCTCGACTCAGTGGTGAGCATGGCCAAATTGGAACCCATGCTCGGGGCATCCCGCTCGTGCGCCGAAGATCTAGGAGCGGCGACCTGGGAGAGTCGTGGGTGCACGAGGCTTGCTAGAGCATTTCGGCTCGCGGGGTCTCCTTCGAGTCTGCACCGCAAGCACAGGAAATGCACCGCGATCCATCCACGAGGGCCCCTCAGCGATGAAGTTGTTCCTGAACTGGATGGGCAGGTGATGGCTGCTGATCCGAGCAGGTCATCATTTGCTGTTGTTGGACCGCGCGTGTCCCTTGGTTCTCAGATTGGGCCGGCTGTAACTGACGATGGTCATTGGTCTGGTCCGCTGGCTAAACGCGCGGTAATAATGATTTAGTTTGGTAGGCAGGGCGCTCCCATGTCGGCACTTGCTGACATGAGCGCGCTTTCTCTGTGATAGATTGCGCGGCACAGCTGGTGCCGATAAGCTGAGGTGCTGCTTAAGCACTGCGTCATCTTCTTGCACGGTTTCTTCACTCCCCCAATGGCATGTTGCGCAGTGGCGATCGCCCCGAGCTGAGCGACTGGCGAGGACCGAAGTTCCCATCCATGTAAGTGGTAGCAGCGGCGCGTATGAGAACGGCCCTGATCGCATGTTCCACGTGGAGATAAAGGTTGGTCTCTCACCGTTGCATCTTTGTGGGTCACGGGTCTGCTTCTCTGGTGGGATTCCTCGCAGATGGCCCCGCGCTTCTGGGCATCCATCACTTTCGCAACAAAACTTGGAGGACGCTGCTCGAGGCTTTCAGGATGACCGTGATCTTCGTGATGGAGGAGAGTTGGCGTAGACGATGTCGCAGAAGAACGTGTCGGTCCGCTTCCTCACGTTCACAACAGTATTAATGTGAAGCTAAAGGACGGTGTTTTTGGTTCTCGTGAGGGGAGCTGTGTTGACAGCCCATTTAATACGGCAGTTTGTTGCGTGCGACCTCCCCTCCGACGCTGAAGGGCCTCATCCAATGTCGATTACAAAAGCATTTTGACAATCGCTTCACACATTCTGTTAACCAGAAGCATATTCTTGCGACGGTCCCGATAACGTGGGAGGTAGCAGCGTTGAAGACGTACTTGAGCGGCTGGATCACCAATGGCAGCATGCGGCGTGCAGAATTGTGCATATACGGCTGCCCTGGGTGTCTGCCAAGAAACACCCTGCTTGCCTCCAGGGTGCCCAGGGTTTCTTGGGTTTCGATGGTTCTGCCATGGAAGGCACGATGTTCCCACACCCAAAATCAATGGACGTCCTGGGGTCTCAGGGTTGGGTGTCTTGTGGAAGGTTTCTTGTGGATGGGCCTTCACTGTACCACCACTGCCGCTTCACGAACCACGAGCACGTCTCTCCGCCCACGTACGTTGAGGCCGCCGCGCTCGTGGAGGCACCCCGCCTCGCTGTGCGCGGATTCCCCTTGAGAGGATCCCGGATGAGGGGGTCTCTGAGGCAGGAGTTCTTTCAGGCGGTGGTCGATGCCAGCAGGAGAGCGTCGGAGCCGAGATTGCCAACGTCTGAGGGCGAGGAGGACAGCAGTAGTAGCTCGTATCCAGTTTTCTCTCCTGGAAGGGATGCCGTCTTGCTTCCGTCCTCTGCTCCCCGACCGCCGTCCCCCCGCTCGCCCTCTGTTTGCCTGACTGCCCGTCCGCTCCGAATGGACACGAGAAGTGCGCTCGCCCAGACTCTGCAGCGCAGTAGTGATTGATCGGTACAGGATCAGAGCAGTGGCAGTAGCATTCTCAACGTTTCAGCTGGTAATGTTGTGCCGCCTCCTTCCTCTGCTGTTGCACCTCTCGCTTCATGTTCACACAGGTTTGAGCAGGCGCCAGCAGTCAAAGTTGGAATGGAGGTAGTGAGAGCGCGCTCGAGTTGCCTCTGGGTGCGCTCCATTTCCCCCTCCTCATCCTCCTCCTCGACCTCTTCCTCCTCCTCATCATCACCACCATCAGCATCATCACAATCATAATCCGTATCATCATCAGCATCATCATCATCGTCACCATCCTCACCATCATCATCATAATCATCATCAGCAGCAGCAGCATCAGCATCGCCATCGTCATCGTCGTCGTCGTCCTCCTCAGCATCATCACCATCATCATCATCAGCAGCAGCAGCATCATCAGCAGCAGCAGGGTCATCATCGTCATCACCATCATCAGCATCATCCTCATCATCATCATCAGCAGCAGCAGCAGCATCATTATCCCCTCACCCCATCCCTCCTCTTCGTCCTCTGCCCAAGGTTGATGCCGAACTCGCGGAGGTGCTGGTCCGCCTGGAACACGCTCTCCCTCGGCGCCGAGGCCAGGGAGGGGCACCCTCTCATGCCCTCCAACCCGCTCTGACCATCTTCTTCCCCGCAGCACGAGGATGACCAGACATTCTACTGGATCAAAGGATACCTAAGCCCAGCCTTAGGGACGAGGCGGCAATCTAAGAAGTAAAGGAGATCGGCAGCTTGCGAGAGAGAAAATGTCCACCATTCGGACGAGGGTCTGGGCGTGCTCCAGTCCCGCTCGGACGCCTCGACGTGTGCCTTCCGAGGCAGAGGAGGCCCGCCACCCCGGGGACCCTGGGCAGGGCTCATTTCGATTCCTTCGATTCGATTCGATTTCGATAGCCCCCGATTCCGATTCGATTCGACTTCGGATTTCAATTTGGATGCCGATTCCTCAACGGAGGCCTGCTAGCCTGCCGATTTCTGCCGATTCGACTTCTCCCGACTTGGCTGCCCATTTCTGCTGATCCGATTCATGTCGATCGCCGATCCGACTTATCGATTCAATTCTGGGCTCTCCTGCCCCAGGGGGGGACCCCCAGCCGTGACGGCAGCACGCCCGCCCGGGCTGAGCCGGCCGCTTGTGCCGCCGTGGGTGGCCTCTTTGTGCTGGAACCCGGCGGCGGCGGCAAGAGAGGGTCGGATCGATCCGGCAGGAGGGAACCCAGACCCCCTCGCGTTGTGAGAAAGTTGCGACGGGAGGTTTTTCACTATTTTCGGCTCTGGGGGGGGCCCTTACAGGGCCTCGGGACCGTGAAAAATCGAATCAGGATGAACAGCGGGTCCCAGGGAAGGGGTCCAGACCTCTGGGGGTCGACGTTGTGAAAAAATCATGACGTCGGGGGTCTGGGAACGTCGTGACCGCAGCGCCGGTTGGGGCTCCTCGTGGGGACACCAGGTGGAGAATGTGGTGTTCAAAAACAGTTACAGCAGTATTCTTCTGTCCGCCCTGCTCGGCGGAGAGGCAACGAGCTGAGACCTGCACGCGTCTATCAAGTTCCGAGGGCAGACTGAGCACGCCGGCAAAAAAGAAGCCAGGGGCCGCCGCACTCTTGACGGGGCACGAGAGCGCAGGACGAGGCGCCAGGCTCACCGCGTGGAACTCGATGAGCACCACCGACCGCCGTGAGCGGTCGGCCCCCATGCCTCCGTGGGCCTCGCTGCCCCAGGGGACTATGGTCACCCCCAAGGGACCACCGGGCGGGGCACCTCGTGCGGGAAGGCGTGTGGCTCGGGTGGTGCACGTCTCGGAGCCGTACTCTCCAAGAGAGTCGACCCCCTGGCCACACCCGACACCCCGACGTCAGGGGCCAGCAACAACAGTGGCCAGAGCCAGCCGCCGCGACAGGCTCGTACCACACAGGCCGACGCAGGTTGGCGAACCAGTCCGCGCCTGCCTGGGGGTTTACCCACACGACCCCAGAACGCTGGGTCCCCGATGGACCTGAGACGGCAGACCGACTCCGCACGGGGATCATCCGGTAAGGTCGTGTAGACCCACTGGGCTGTGGCGCCGCAAGCGACGTCTTGGCGGATTTCAGTTCACCCCAGGGGCCCCGGTGCGCCGCCCACGCACCGAGGTCACCCCCCTGGGGGCCAGCGAGGGAGGAGGCGGCGGCGGCGGCGGGAACAGGCGCGCGTCAGTGGACGGCCTCGGTATTGGCCTGCGCGCGCCGCTGGCACACAGGTCACGGCCCCTCACTTGTGAGGAGGGCCGCACTATCGCTCCCCGCTCAGGGAGAGGGGGCGAATTAGGAAAGGAGCCCGAAGCCTTGCTGGGCCACCCACGGGGCCCTCTTAAGGTGCCTCCTCCTGGGCGCATCGGCTCGGTTCGCTTGTATTTGCTCGCGTTGGGACTCCGAGAGGAGGGGAAGGGGAGGGGAAGGGGAGGAAGCGACGCAGGAACGGGGACAAAGGGGGAAGAGAGCCCAACGAAGCCTATTGTACTGGTCATCTTGGCTGGGGTCCTCGGAGGTGCCCGTCCTGGTGGGCACACGAGCAGGCCCTGGGCAAGCGGCTTGGGAGAACGCCTGGGCTCCCGAGAGCGGCGGCAGCGCTCCCGCTCGGGGTCGGGTCGAGAGTGACGGCCCGCGCGTCGAAACTCTGGGGCCCATTGGGCCGCGTCCTCTCCCTCCTGGGCAGACCGCCCGACAGAATCCCAAAGACCCTCCACCTCGGGACCTGATTCGTGGCCAGCGGATCCGCCGTCGAGCTCCGGGGAAGCGAACTCCGCAACCGTCTGGACGACAGACTCTGCGATGGCCCTGCAGACGCTGGGCGGGGTAGACCTTCTTCTTGGCCGAGGTCCTGAAGCTCCCCCCAGGCTCGGCTTTGCCAGGGAGCACCTGGTGCGCTCCGCGTCCGTGGGAACAGCGCCCTTGGCTGGGCGCTGCAGTGAGGCGGGGCTGCAGGCCTCTCACTTCGAGGCCGAAGATGCGCGTCGGCGCGCGCCCGACCTCGCCCCCGTGCTCGCACTGGTCGACGTCGGTCGTCGTGGTGCATGGCGCCGCCTGCAAGGCCAACAGTGGCTCTCATGTCCAGCTGGTCACCGCCTCACGGCGCCAGTGGGCCGGGATGGGGCGTTCCATCCAGGCAGCAGAGCCCCCGACGGCGTGCACTGCCATGAGCTGCACCATCGCCTGCAGCAGCGAGTTGCCGACGGCCAGCTGCAGACGCTGCCGTTCCGTCGCCGCCAGGATGCCCCAGTGGTCGTCGTGGGTCCGGAGTGGCGGAGGGCCTGGGTGGTCGGACCACCTGGCCGCACTGCAGAAATCGCAAGGCGTGCCTCCGCCTGTCAGTCTGACCTGGCGGGAGCGAATCGCTTCCGCAAAGGCCGCCAGGCTCGAGGACTTCATCAGGTCACACCTGTCCGCGTCGATGGCCACGCCGATGTTGAGCACGACGGTCTGGATCTCGGCCCGCAGCTCCTCGTAGGCTGTTGAGCTCTCGGGGCCGTCCTGGATGTCCGATCTCCCTGGCAAGCCACAGTACAAATTGAGCACAAACACTGCAGGACTCTTCAGCTTCCGTGGGATCGCAGCCGTCATGATTCCTGCGTACGCCCGTGGGGAACTTGTCCAGGTCGTAGCGCTCGAGAGGGACAGCTGGCTACACGGTCGCATGCGGCACGTCGACCTTCCGAAGAGTGTGCTGCATGGTCGGCAAGTCGAGCGCACAGTCCTCACCAAGCAGGCTCTCCGTGATGTCCTGCACCCCCACCTCACACCCTTGCTCCATCACCTCGCACCCTGGTTGTTTATACACGTATACACACCCCTTGCACCAGTGGCCTGACCTAGCGTTTGGTCGCCCCTGGCCGATCTTGTTGTCAGCGTTCCGCTGCACCGTCCTGTTCCTGCGTCCTGGCATTCCGCTATCCGCACACATCCATGTCATTACAGTCTGAGGGGGCGACGTCCACTGCAACCTTGGGTTGGGAGGTCCTGGTGCCCGCGAAGCCGGGATATCCACCCGCTTGCGGAGGCCTCCTTTGGGGAGCTCCTGCTGCTGGGGGACGTCCTCGTGGCGGTCGGCGCGGACTTGAGCAGGCAGCCTGGCGACGCGATGGCGGCGCTCTCGAGCAAGTGGGGCGGGGCCTCGAACTGCGTCAGGCATGCCGGGCACTGGCTAGCGCCCTGGAGCCACCTGCGGGCCAGGCTCTGCACGGGTGCAGTGCTCCCTCGAAATGTGTACAGGTACTCCTCGCTGGCGTCGGAAGCTGTCCGCGGACCACGGGCACGGCCACTGCGTCTGCGTTTCTACTGTAGCAGTCCCGAGCTGGAACCGCGGTCGCGGTCGTCGCCGTCCGCCGTCGTTGTTGTCATCGTCGGCGTTTCGTCCTGCCCCTTCTCGATGCATTTCGTCTCGGTTTGGACTCGCCCTTCTGATTTCGCCATGCTGTGGAACAGAATCCTTTCATAAGGTCTCGACTGCAACCAGCTCTGGGCGAGCAATGCTCCCAGGCAGATCGAGCTTGAGGCCCGTCTCAGTTCTGTTAGGATTCGGATGCCAGGGAAGATTCGATCCACGACGCAATAGAGCACGGAACTGTTTAGATTCGCCCCTTTTCGGTTCGCCCCGCTTCAGTACGTCGGATCTTGAGCTCGAGCTGGTCGAGCACCCCGCGCGTTTCGATTGCGGCAAGATCTGGGTTATGCGTTCAGGCAGCTCGAGCTTAAGATTCAGATCAGTTCGATCGGGATTCAGACGCCACGGACGACCTGATCCACAATGCAATAGGGCACAGCACTTCAACGCGGCATAGCGTGTCTCAGTTCATCACAGCACAGCACAGCCCCTGACACTGTACATCACCATCGCGACCTTGAGCATTGCAACTGCCCGTCGCCTAACCTTGTTGTCTTGAACAGTTCCCATGTTTCACATCTCAACATTCCTTTCCAGGTTCGCGGGTCGATCCTGTTTTTGAAAATCGTTTCTCGCTTTCGCGCTGCGCACAGTCGTTCAAAGTCCCCACCAGGTACAAGGGTGGACGAGGTGGCTTTCAAAATACGGCTCTCGCCTCAGTACTGGTCTCATTCGTCTAAAAAGTTCCCGACAGCTACAAGGATGGAGGCCGGTTCGTTTTCAAGATGCGGCTCTCGCTCAGGATTGACACCAAAATATTGGATGGGAGTTCCACATTGGGCGCCGGCTACAGGGGTGTAGGGCGATTTAACATCAAAATGAAGCTCTCGCTTCATACCTTCGTAAACTGTATGACCAGAATTTCGAATGTCCTAACACTTGCACAGATGAAGAAGGGCAGTCTGGTTTGCAGAACACGGCTATCACTGGACACCTTTGGCATTTGATGATCACACCTCTCTTTTTGCGTTTCTTTCAGCTGGCAGTGTGGAGGGTCGGTCCATTGCACACTGGGCACTTCCGTAGCGGTAGGCTCACGGGGCGCTCATCATTCCAGGGGGCGCTTCCCGCAGTGGAAGGAAATTCGTGCAGGTCAGAGTGAGGGAGCCGAACGGTCATTCACTGTCCCTGGGCGCGTGGCTGAAGTGACGTTCTGCGGTGCGGATTGTTGTTGTTGTTGTTGTTGTGGGTGGTGGTGGTGGTGGTGGTAGTTGTGGTGGTGGTGGTGGTGGTGGTGGTGGCGGTGGTGGTGGTATTGTTGTTGTGTTTGCTATTGTTATTGGTATGGTTATTGTTAGTGTTAGTGTTACTGTCGTGTTTGGTGTTGTTGTTGACGTTGTTGTTGAGTTCTCGCTTCTAAAGATGAGTCAGTGTTGATCCCCCACTCGGGTAACCATTGCACGTTTCAATTAAAGTGCTTCTCCCAGGGCTGGCACCTTGTTTTTTGTTAAACCAGGGAAAGCGAAGGGTCACCACACTGCGCTGTTAGGGCCCGAACTACAACAATGGCTCTCGCCTGAGCTCTCGCGCGGGACGTCCTCACAAGTTATACAGGAATCGCGTTATCGCGTGGGACTTTCTCGCCATTTATTCAGACGCCGCGCCCTCGACACTCAGGAATCACGCTCTCGCAGTGGATTTCCTTGCGATTCTTTAGGAATCGCGCTCTTGCTCGACACGTCCTCGCAGTTCATGCAGGACGCACGCTTCAGCAACCCGCCTGCTCGACCTGGCCGCCTGGGCCCGCCTTCCTGACCCGCCTGCTTGGGTCTACCCGCTCGATCTGCCCGTCTGGTTTTGCCACGTGCTTTCTGCTCCTAGCCCCCTCTCCTGCTATTCTCTCTCGTGCTCCATCCTCCTCCCTCCCCTTTGTCCCTTCCTTTCATCCGTCCTCTCTTCCACTGCCTTAGGGGCTGCACGAAATACAAGTTGTAGGCAAGAACGATGTATTGTAGTGGCATCCGGCCACTGCCGCCGATCCGGGGCGCTCCGGATGATGATGATGATGATGATGATGATGATGATGGTGATGATGGTGATGATGGTGATGATGGTGATGATGGTGGTGATGGTGATGGTGATGGTGACGATGGCGATGGCGATGGTGATGGTGATGATCCCGGCCCCCCCACCCCCTTCCTCTGTCCTGTCCCCCCCCTCTCTCCTGACCCCCCCCCCCCGTCTCCTTTCCCCCCACACCCTCTCTCCTCTCCCCCCCTCTCTCCCCCCCTCCTCTCTCCTGTCCCCCCCCTCCCCCCTCTCTCCTGTCGCCCCCCCGCTCTCTCCTGTCCCCCCCCCCTCTCTCCTTTCCCCCCCTTCCCCCCCCTCTCCTGTCCCCTCCCCCCCTCTCTCCTGTCACCCTCCCCCCGTCTACAATACACTCAATATGAATACTACTCTCCCTCTTCCCCTGATGACGTCCTGAAAGTGTCCGACCCCCCCCGCGTATTGTTTTTTTACACAGGTTTCCCCGGAGTTGGGTTTTCGCCTGCATTTGTTTCCAAAATGCTGCTCTCGCTGAGGCGCCGGCCTCATTTTCGGGCCCCGCTCGTTCCGAATCGTGCTCCCGTTGCAGCGCTCTCATCATGTCTGCCGGCGCCCAGGCTGCACGCCCGAGCCGGCGCCCAGGCCGGCGCTCGGGCTGGCGCTCGGGCCGGGTCTGGAGCCGGTTCCGGCCGGCGCCGGAAAATCGAGTTCCGAGGCGGCGCCGAAAAAAGGCAATTCTAATGCACATTTTTCTTTTGAAAGCGCTGAATTTCTGCTTCCGGCGCCCGGGAGGCCGATTCCGACGCCCAGGCCGGCGCCCGAGCCAGCGCCCGGGCTGGACGCCCGAGCCGGCGCCCGGGCCGGCGCCCGGGCCGGGTCCGGAGCCGGTTCCGGCCGGCGCCAGAGAATCGAGTTCCGAGGCGGCGCCGAAAAAAGGCCATTCCAATACAATTTTTTCTTTTGAAAATGCTGAATTTCTGCCTTCCCCGGAGTTAGGCTTTCGCTTGCATTTGTTCCCAAAATGCTGCTGTCGCTGAGGCGCCGGCCTCATTTTCGGGCCCCGCTCGTTCCGAATCGTGTTTTCGCTGCAGCGCTGGCCTCATTTCCGTGCTTCCGCTCGTTCCGAATCGCGCTCCCGCTGCGGCGCTGGCCTCATTTCCGCGATTCCGCTCGTTTCGACTCGTGTTCCCGCTGCAGCGTTGGCGTCATTGCCCGTGCCATGCCACGGCATGCAATGCAATGCTAGGTTGATACTACGCTTCGCGGTGCTCTTCTACGCCATGCCACGCCGTGCTCTACAATGCATCGCGTACCCTTTCGGGATCATCGCCCTGCGTGACATCCGACTGTGCGAGTAGAGAGGGGATCTGCGCCATGGTAAGGGATGGGAGGGAGGGGTAGGATGTCAGATATGACAGGATGTCTCTCCTGTTCCCCCCCCCCCGTTTCCTGCCCCCCCCCCCCTCTCCTGTCCCCCCCCCTCTCTCATGTCCCCCCCCCTCTCTCCTTTCCCCCCCCCCCCTCTCCTGCCCCCCCCCTTCTCCCCTGTCCACCCCCCCCCTCTCCCCTCCCCTTCTCTCCTGTCCCCCCCCCACCCTCTCTCCTTGGTGTTAACAGGGGGGTACCGAGCACTGAATTCATCAGTTAATTACCCCCCCCCCCCTCCCCCCCTCCCAATCCCTTCCTTTCATCCGTCCTCTCTTCCACTGCCTTAGGGGCTGCACGAAATACAAGTTGTAGGTAAGAACGATATATACCCCCAAAGGGGCACGATCGAAGACGAAGAGGGCGGATATCGAGGGTTTGAGATATACGTGTTGAACGGCCCGCGAGCAGATGCGAGCGAACGGTTGTCAAATGATTGTTGATGTTGTTGTTGTTGTTGTTGTTGTTGTTGCTGTTGCTGTTGCTGTTGCTGTTGATGTTGCTGTTGCTGTTGCTGTTGCTGTTGCTTTTGTTGTTGATGATGTTGATTGCTTGTTTTGCTGTTTGTTGTCGTCGCCCCCACCCGCGACCCCACCCGCGACCCACCCGCGACCCGCACGCGACCCATCCGCGACCGGGCCCGCGACCCACCCGCGATCCACCCGCGACCCACCCCGCGACCCGCCCGCGACCCACCCGCGACCCACCCGCGACCTACCCGCGACCCATCCCGCGACCCGCCTACATAGTTCTAAGGAAGAAATCAGCGCCTGCGGCGAGTTTGTTGTATAACTTGTCCGAATTAGGCGCCTGCGGCGGGTTTTTTTTTTTTTTTTTTTTTTTTTTTTTTTCAGAGCCTCGCAGACTGCCGACGTCCCCACCACCCCCATCATTCTTATTCGCAAGTGCGGGGTGTTCCATTCTTATAATAACGAGGTCACTTGGGACGAGAGGGTGTGTTACAGCATTGTCAATGCATCCCGGGCGCGCACTGCAGGTCGTGCGTATTGTGTGTGTTGCGCAACGTGTAGCATCGTCGAGTATAACTCAGACGTTCGGCCCGATGCAGGTATTGTCCTGTCCTGTCCTCCTTCTATGCTCCATCATTGCAAGTGCTGCAAACGTTCAATACGAATGCGCGCGGCGGAAAGGCAAAAGCCCCATTGCGCGCGGCGCAGAGGCGAGAGCCCCAATGTGAAAGCCACCTGTGGCCCATCCTTGTAGCCGGTGCTGAATGATACTGTCGGGCCGAGGTATACGATCGAGGTCGGTGCGGGGAGGGCACCATATTGTTTTTCGTGTGTGGTGGATGTTCTTCTTCATCCTAAGGGAGGGCACCCTCGAAGGTTCTTCAGTTTGAACGGCGGAGTGTATAATGTCCTTGAAGCATGTTATGTTGTCCTAGGTCCGGCTGTAAGACGAATACGCGCGGCGCTAAGACGAAAGCCCCATATTGAAAACCGTTTTCGCCCCATCCGTGTAAGTGCTGAAAATGTGAAGACGAATGTGCGCGGCGCTGAGCCGAGGTTCCCATTTTGAAAGCGACCCGCTCCGTCCTTGAAATTGTTGCCAGTTTCCGGGTCGTAAATCGTGAGGAAATATCAGGCGAAGAGCGCAGCACTGCTAGCTCTAAATCAGAGAAGCCGCTTGGTTCACGCGCCTTCGGTGCATCGAGGTCATCAGTGCACCTGAACTGGTACCCGCGCGCACCCGCACGAGAGTGATGCTCTGCCAACGCTTCTCCTTCCATGGGGCGGGAGCCACTTTGGCTCAAGGCTGGCTCCGCGGCTTGCCCAAGGCTCTGCACGAACCCAGATCTCCGACGGGATTTGTTCATCGGGTCGGCCCACAGAGGTCTGGACCCCTTCCCCGGCACCAGGGTTTCGTCCCGAGCCGCTTTTGCACGGTTCCAGGGCCCAGTGAGGGCCCCTCGGGGCCGAAGTTTGTCAAACGCCTTTCGCCGTCATGTTCTCATATCGAGACCCAGAAATCCAACGCACCATTTTTTCAAGACGCGCCCCGAAAAAGTTCCGACCCTTCCCTCTGGGCCAGCTTTGCATCCCGAGCCGTTGTTGAACGGTCCCGGGGCCAGGCGAAGGCCCCTGGAGGCCGAAGACGGCGAGATAATCATCCGAACCGAAATCCTTAATGCGTTGGAGGTCTGGAGACGAGTGAGCAGGTGGGGGCGCATCTCCGGAGCAACGGTAGGGATGGATAGGCATACAAGGGGGGACGCATCGACCTCGAATCGTTGATACATCAACGATGCATCGTTGATATCAGGGCGATGCATCGACGATGTATAGACGATACATGCGGCGGTTTGCATCGACGATGCATCGACGATACATGCGCGATGTATCGGCCACTCGAGGTCGATGCAACCCCCTCATGCCTATCCCCGCATGCTACTCCTCACCCTCGTCCTCCTCCTTCTCCTCCCTCTCCTCCCCCCCTCGACTTAACAGCCTTCAACTGAATACTTGCCTACCCATCGCCTCCCCCCTCCTCCCACCTCCTCACCGTTCCCTTTCCTCCCCCAGTCTTCCCCTGTGGCCCAGCGCTTGCTGCGACCGACTCGCGAGTTCACTGGGCCCGCGGCTGGCGCATTCCCCCCATCGTTGCCCCTCACTATCTCCGGATGCAACTACTGGGATGTCAAATTCTGACTTTGTCCTGTTCCGAAATCCGGCTTGATCTGGCTCCATCCCGCTCAATCCAGCTTGATCCGGCTTCATCCCGCGCAATCCCGCTCAGTCCGTGGCCCAATCCGGCGCAACAGCCCCCCGAATGGGGCTCGATTCTCCCTCATATCTTTCCGACGAAGACCTCCCAGCAGTGGCCTCCCAGACCATCCGCCGTCGTTGGGCCCCGCTGCGATGGCGGCCTCCCTGGGGGCCCGCGTGCTCCGGCTGCTGCCGCTGCTGCGCGCCGGCGCTGCCGCGGGGGGCGAGCCGCTGGGGGCGCCGCAGGCCGTAGGGGCCCTGCCCGGCGCGCCGCCGGGGTCCCCCCACGGCTCGCACTACAGCGGGTACCTGGAGGCTCGGTCGGGCGGGGCTCACCGAGGACGGGTTCGTTCCCTTGGCATCGCTCGGGCGTGTGCGTGTTCCTCGGCGACGGCCATGAAGGAGCACATACTGGCTCACCTTGCGGTTTAAAAGAGACGCACGAGACCGAAAGCACGGGGAATGGACGTCCGAGCGATGGCGAGTTCCAGAGCGTGCCAGAACGCTCTCAAACTTAGCTGCCATGTTCAAAACGTCTGTCTTAACACGCTGCGTGTTGGCTCGGCACGTGTTGGCCCACGTTTCGGCGAACGCATCGCGCCAGACCTACGTTTTCAGTCTACGTCTACGTGTTGAGCGCCGTATCGATACGCTACGTGTTGCGTGTTGTGTATCGGGGCAGCTATGCCGAGGACAGATCCGTTCCAGAGCGTTCCGGAACGTTCTCAGAGCGTTCTGGAAAGCTCTGAGAAGGCCGCGGCGCCCGATACATCATCCAGAGTCGCCAGATCGCAGAGATTCTCGATTCATCCCCGGGGGTTTCGCAAGAGTCAGCCACGCGCAGGAGAAAGCTTCTCAGAAGCACCCCTGTTTCTTGGAAGGCGCAGGCCTTATCTGTAGATGTAGGGCCGACGCCTTCTAAGAAGCAGCCTCCTTCTAAGAAGTTCCCCCCCTCACCTCACCCCCTTGTGCGCGCCGCCACGGGTACCTGGAGGATCGGGGATTTTGCTAGAGTCGGGCGTTCAGTAGCAAGTCGTGAGACTCTCGTATGCACTCACAATTCCCTCTTTACAGCGCCTTAGCGTGTGCTAGTGTCTGGCAACCGATTCAGCATCGATTTGCGTCGACTTAGGGTTGATTCGGATCGATTGGCGTCGAATCGCATCGAGTCTGGCGTTGCTCAATGGGGAGATCCCCCCCCCCTTTCTATCACCCCCACCCCGTAAAGCAACACCCACAAGAGGCGGGCGAGGACGGCTGGGGCGATGATCAGGGGCAACCTGATTAGGGGGGAATGGCTCAGGATGGGACGCATCGACCCCCGATGATCGCCCACTCATCGCCGATAGGGGCTCAACAGCCCATCCAACGGCTCGCACTACAGCGGGCACATGGATATTCGGGAGATTCTAGTTTGTTGAAGGTTTGTTTGAGTTTCCGTTTTCGGCGGAATTCAGTGGTTTTCCAGCAGCGGGATGCCTTCAGCAGCTGCGCCTCGCCGGAAGCGTTCCAGGGGTGCAGGGATCGTCCCGAAGGGCCGCCAGAGGTCCGAGTTGTGACCCGAAAGCCACGCAGCGTCGAGAAGGGTGAGGACTGGGAGTGGGCATGGATTTCGTGGCCAGGGCCATGAGATCTTTCAGATCTCATGCCCCCCTCTTCTTATTATCAGTAGTACTTATTAGTATGATCGTCATGCTTGGCATCGATGGCAGTTTGATTGATAGCACCTGCCACCGCTGATCAGCTGGGAGCGCGGCCCAAGCCTGGGCTCAAGGATCCCCCCAGGCTTCAAGGGAATGCACCCCCCGCGCCGTCAAAGAGGGGGCCTGTATAATTCGCGCATCGGGGAAACGTAAGACTCGAGTGAGCCGGAACTCGGGTTTGCCGAGGTTGTTTGACGAGCGCGTCCTGGATGTTGACAGTCCCGTTGTCGTGGGATGTTCGCAGCGGGAGCTCGCGTCAAATTTCAGATTGGGTCTCGTCATTTTTATGATGGCCCCGTCAGGCCAACCCGACTCCCCCGTACCCAAGTCTCACGTCTCCCCCAGAGCGTAGGTGGGCGAAGACCAGAACGTCGGAGCCACGACCTGCGCGCGGTAGATGACATTGTTCCAGAACGGTGCTTGCTCGATTCGCGTGGCGCCGACGTCGGCAGCCTGGTCACCCGTCGGGCAGTGGGCCAAGTCTACGATTGCTCGCGCAGGCTGATCTGCAACTGCGGTGGCGTCTATGCGGTGGGCGCCCACCAGCTCTGCAGACCTCCACGCCTGCCGCGTCGTCCTCCATGAGCTCTGCCTTCGGCGGGCGCCCAAGCACTCGCTGCCGCGGCGGCAAAGCAGGTAGGAGTTCCCTCCGAACCGCCTCGTATATCAGCCTCCAGCGTGCTGTGGGACGTGGCGGTCTGCCGCCGCAAGTTGTAGCTCTGGAGAGCTTGTCTGCTTTTTACCCCGGAGCTGTTGAGCGTTGGCACTGGCGCACTGCTCACAACACTCATTCATACGAGTGTCATCATTGATCGCATTCGTGTTCTTGTTTTCTCGTAAGTAGTCTCCGCGTGTGTAATAGTATCATTGGTAGTATCACCACGTGGTGATAGTATTGGTAGTAGTAGTAGTAGTAGTAGTAGTAGTAGTAGTAGTAGTAGTAGTAGTGGTAGTGGTAGTTGTAGTGGTAGTGGTAGTGGTAGTAGTAATATTAGGAGTAGCAGTAGCAGTAGCAGTAGCAGTAGAAGTAATAGTAGCAGTAGTAGTAGCTCTAGCACAAGGACGCTCTTCCCTAGGTGGTTGAGCCGTGGTGATGTGGTGCACGGGACCGCCAGCAGTAGTAGTAGTAGTAGTAGTAGTAGTAGTAGTAGTAGTAGTAGTAGTACTAGCAGTAGTAGCAGCAGTAGTAGTAGTAGTAGTAATAGTAGTACCAGTAGTAGTGGCAGTAGTAGTAGTAGTAGTAGTAGTAGTAGTAGTAATAGTAGTAGTAGTAGTAGTAGTAGTAGTAGTAGGTAGTAGTAGTAGTAGTAGTAGTAGTAGTAGTAGTAGTAGTAGGGTAGGTAATAGGTATAGGTAGTAGTAGTAGTAGTAGTAGTAGTAGTAGTAGTAGTAGTAGTAGTAGTAGTAGTTAGTAGTAGTAGTAGTAGTAGTAGTAGTAGTAGTAGTAGTAGTAGTAGTAGTAGTAGTAGTAGTAGTAGTAGTAGTAGTAGTAGTAGTAGTAGTAGTAGTAGTAGTAGTAGTAGTAGTAGTAGTAGTAGTAGTAGTAGTAGTAGTAGTAGTAGTAGTAGTAGTAGTAGTAGTAGTAGTAGTAGTAGTAGTAGTAGTAGTAGTAGTAGTAGTAGTAGTAGTAGTAGTAGTAGTAGTAGTAGTAGTAGTAGTAGTAGTAGTAGTAGTAGTAGTAGTAGTAGTAGTAGTAGTAGTAGTAGTAGTAGTAGTAGGCAAATACCTGGCCTCCAGGCCGGGGGGGCCCGAGCCCCACGGACCGGCCTCCAGGCCTGGGGGGCCCAGCGGACCGGCCTCCTGGCCGGGGCTCTGCCCTACCGCCTTGGCGGCGCATTCCTGGCGAGGATCGTGCCCCATTGGGAGCTCCAACTAAAGAGGGTGATCCTGGCTGGTTCCATGCGCGTTTGGGCACACCCCTCACGAGGATCGTGGCTAAGTAGGGATCTTCAACTACACTTCAAAGGTTCCATGTCCATGGCGGGCAGTTATCACTTGGATCGTGCCCCACACGGAGCTCCAACTACAGCTTCAGCGACGGGGGTCGAATCTGGTTCACTTCCACTTCTGCCATCCTTCACTGTCACGAGGATCGCGCCCGACAGAACGCTCCAGCTGCAGCTCCAGCAAGAGCTACCCCAGCTGGCTCCTTCGCCGTTCCTCTCTCTCCCCACCTTTCTCCACGGGCCCAGGGCGCTAGCGGACCGGCCTCCAGGCCAGGGTGCTAGCGGACCGGCCTCCAGGCCAGGGTTTTCCGTTCATGCCGGCGCCCCTCCTCATACTTTTTCAGCTCCTCTTCCAGCTTTCTTCTTCAGCACCCCTCCTCCTCCCTACTTTTCCTGCTTTTCAACTTCCTCCTGCTGGTCGTCCTTCCCCTCCTTCTCCCATATTATCCCATGCTGCTGCCGTTCGTCGTCGTCCTCCTCTTCCCCCTCCGCCTCCTCGTTCTTTGTCCCCCTCCCTCCTAGCCCCGCGGACCGGCCCCCAGGCCAGGGGAGACGGTTGTGGCCAATGGTGAAATTAAAATGTTAATGGTGAAATAGAATTTTTAAAGGTGAAATAAAAAACAACTACGTAAAAACACTACGCAGAGAAGAAGAAGAAGAAGGACAACACAAAAAAAAAAAAAAAAAAAAAAAAAAAAAAAAAAAAAAAAAAAAAAAAAAAAAAAAACTACCTAAGAAACACAACGCAGAACAGCACGCAGAAAAACACTACGTAAAAACACTACGCAAAACATACACTACGGAGAAGCGCTACGCACGTGAGTACGTCACATCCGCACAGTACGTGTGTGACCAGGGAGGTCTCGTGAGCGGGCGCCCCAGCGGCTGGCGCGGCCCTGCGAAGTCCGGACGACGAGGGCATTCTGCGTAGTGTTTTTTTACATGGTGTTTTCAGGGGCGCCCCGAGACGGCAGCGCTGCTACGCGGGAACAACACGCCCGAAACCCCACGCAGCAGCATGCCGCGTCGCCCGCGTCTCTCGTCACCGTTGGCCGAGGCCGCGGGGAGTTGCGGATTCGGGCGGAACTGGCGCGAGACGCGGGCGACGAGGGCATTCTGCGCAGTGTTTTTACGTCGTGTTTCCAGGAGCCCCCCGAGCCGGCAAGCAACCACGTAGCAAACAACGACGCCCAAACCCGCGCTGCCCGCGTCTCACGTCGCGTTCGCCCAAGGCCACGGGGGGCCGCTGTTTCGAGCGGAATTCGCGCGAGATGCGGGCGACGGGGGCATTCTGTGTAGTATTTTTACGCAGTGCGTGCAGGAGCGCCCCGAGTCGGCGCGCCACCACGCCAACGCGCCCAAACCTTTGCGCAGCAGCATGCCGCGTCGCCCGCGTCTCTGGGCAGTTTCGCCCGATGCCGTGGGGGGCTGCGGATTCGGGCGGAACTGGCGCGAGACGATGCCCACGAGGGCATTCATTCTGCGCAGTGTTTTTTACATAGCGTTTTCAGGAGCGCCCCGAGTCGGCGCGCTACTACACGGAAGCAACACGCCCGAATCCTAACGCAGCGCGTCGCCCGCGTCTCACGTCACGTTCGCCGCAGGAGGCGGGCAGTTGCGGAGGCGTGGAGGGGGGGGGGGGGAATGTGAACCGATATTTGCTAGAACTGGAGTACAGGGAGGAGGAGGAGGAGGAGGAGGAGGAGCAGGAGGAGCAGGAGGAGCAGGAGGAGCAGAAGGAGCAGGAGGAGCAGGAGGAGCAGGAGGAGCAGGAGGAGGAGGAGGAGGAGGGGGAGGACGAACTTTGGACTGATATGGAGGAGGAGGAGGGGGAAGAGGAGGAACATTTAAGGACCGATACCAGGTAGCCGCGGATAGGAGTAGGAGTAGGAGGAGAGGGAGGAGGAGGAGGAGGAGGAGGAGGAGGAGGACGCGAATACACCTACGCCAATACACTACGCAAGCGCACTCAGTACATACACGACGCGAATACACGAACCAAAAACACTACGCAAAAGCATTACGCAGATGCGCTACGCAAATATACTACGCGAAAACACTACGCAAAAGCACTACGCAAACACACTGCGCAAATACACTGCGCAAAAACGCTTCGCGAAAAGCACTACGCAAAAACACTACGCAAAAACACTACGCAAAATCACTACGCGAAAACACTACGCAAAAACACTTCGCAAAAACACGACGCCGACACACTACGCCAATACACTACGCAAACGCACTCAGCACATACACGACGCAAATACACGACGCAAATACACGACGCCGATACATTACGCCAATACACTACGCAAGCGCACTCAGCACATACACGACGCGAGTGCACGACGCAAAAACATGTACGCAAAAACAGTACGCAGATGCGCTACGCGAATACACTACGCGAGTACACCGCGCAGAAAACACTACGCAAAAACACGACGCAAATACGCTACGCAAGAAACACTACGCAAAAACACGACGCAGAATCACCACGCAATCGCACTACGCGAAAAAAACATTACGCAAATACGCTACGCCAATACACTACACCAATACACTACGCAAACGCACTCAGCACACACACGACGCACATACGCTACGCCAACACATTACGCAAACGCACTCAGCACACACACGCACGACGCAAATACACGACGCGAATACGCCACGCAAAAGCACTACGCAGATGCGCTACGCAAATACACTTACGCAGAAACACTACGCCAAAACACACTACGCGAAAACACTACGCGAAACCACTACGCAAAAACACTACGCAAACACACTACGCGAAAAACGCTACGCAAAAACACTACACAAAATCACTACTCAAAAGCACTATGCAAAAACACTACGCAAATACACTACGCCAACACACTACGCCAATACACTACGCAAACGCACTCAGCACATACAAGACGCAAATACACGTCGCAAATGCACTATACCACAATACACTACGCAAGCGCACTCAGCACACACACACACACACACACGACGCGAATACACGACGCAAAACCACTACGCAAACACACTACGCAGATGCGCTACGGGAACACACTACGCGAAAACACGACGCTAAAAAACACTACACAAAAACATTGCCCGAATACACTACGCAAAAGCACTACGCGAAAAACACTACGCAAAAACACTACGCAACATCACTACGCGAAAGCAATACGCAAAAACACTACGCAAATAGACTACGCCTACGCCAATACATTACGCAAACGCACTCAGCACATAAAAGACGCAAATACACTACGCAAATACACTACGCAAATACACTACGCAAACGCACTCAGCACACACACGACGCGAGTACGCGACGCAAACACACTACGCAAAAACACTACGCAGATGCGCTACACACACACACACACACACACTACGCGAAAACACTGCGCAATCAAATACTACGCAAACACACTACGCGAAAAAACACTACGCGAAAAACACTACGCAAAAACACTACGCAAAAACACTACGCAGATTCATTTCACCCTTAGGCATACCTCTCCAGGGGAAGCCCGGCGGACCAGCCTCCAGGCCGGGGCTCTGCCCTATAGCTTTGGCGGCGCGTTCTTGGCGAGGATCGCGCCCCACTGGGAGTTCCAACTGAAGAGGGTGATCCTGTTTGGTTCCATGCGCGTTTGGGTGCACCCCTCACGAGGATCGCGCCTAAGCAGGGATCTTCAGCTTTACGTCCACGTCGGGCAGTTATCACTTGGATCGCGCCCCACAGGGAGATTCTCTGCAGCTCCAGGAAGGGAAGAGCGACGAAGAGAAGGACGGCGAGGGGAACGGGGAGGGAGAGGGGGAATCAAGTGGGGGGCAGGGCAGGGGGACGGCAGTTGAGCCGCAGGACGAACGCGGGGCACGGGCAGGAAGGGGGCAGGGCGCAAGGAAGGTAGCACACACAGGGGGGGCGCGCCGCGCGCGCATGCTTGCTCGCTTTATGGGAAGGGGAGGAGGAGGAGGAGGAGGAGGAGGAGGAGGAGGAGGAGGAGGAGCGGGAGGAGGAGGAGGAGGAGGAGAATGAGGAGGTTGGTATGATGCTGATGATGACGATGATGATGATGAGGATGATGATGAGGATGATGATGGTAAAGATGATGAGCTTGGTTTCGATGCTGATGATGAAGACGACGACTACGACCGATGATGTTCATCATGCTGACGATAGCGATGGTGACGAGGAGCAGGATGATGCTAATGTTGTTGTTTATGATGTGTATGACTTGATGATGGTGCTAGTTGTGATGATGATGATGATGATGACGCCTGTGGTGATCATGGTCCTGATTACGACGGCGATGATGTTCATCCTCACGGTATTTAGGATGTTGTTGGTGAGTATGGTGTTCAATGCAATGATGCCACTCGCCGGCCACATATACAAACACACACACGAACAAGTCGAGTACGTCACACATCCATGTCAATGGCATATACACACACACGTACATCAGCACCACCACCGCGTTGCCACACACACACACACACACACGCGCACACACACACACACACTTGCACATCAGCACCACCATTTCATTGCCACATACACACATTCACTTGTACATCACCACGACCACTGCAAAGCCACACTTAATTTCGTCTTCGTCCTGCGACTCCTCCCCCACCAGGCTGAGGGCCAGCGGACCGGCCTTCGGGCTGGGGGGCTGGCGGACCCGCCTCCAAGCCGGACGCGTCCACTGCCCACATGTGTTTTGCACAGCTGGCAAGCTGTGCAAAACACATGTGAGCTGTTCTTTATGTGTACACACAAAAAAAATACTTCGCCAAAAGACTCCGTGGACGACCCTAAAGGACACCATCGGGGAACTCCCGGCCTGGACGCCGGTCCGTTCGCACCGGCCCCGGCCTGGAGGCCAGTCCGTTGCCTAGTAGTAGTAGTAGTAGTAGTAGTAGTAGTAGTAGTAGTAGTAGTAGTAGTAGTAGTAGTAGTAGTAGTAGTAGTAGTAGTAGTAGTAGTAGTAGTAGTAGTAGTAGTAGTAGTAGTAGTAGTAGTAGTAGTAGTAGTAGTAGTAGTAGTAGTAGTAGTAGTAGTATAGTAGTAGTAGTAGTAGTAGTAGTAGTAGTAGTAGTAGTGGTAGTTGGTAGTAGTAGTGGTAGTAGTAGTAGTAGTAGTAGTAGTAGTAGTAGTAATAGTAGTAGTGTAGTAGTAGTAGTAGTAGTAGTAGTAGTAGTAGTAGTAGTAGTAGTAGTAGTAGTAGTAGTAGTAGTAGTAGTTAGTAGTAGTAATAGTAGTAGTAATAGTAGTAGTTTAGTAGTCGTAGTAGTCGTAGTAGTAGTAGTAGTAGTAGTAGTAGTAGTAGTACAGTAGGTGTAGTAGTGTAGTAGTAGTAGTGGTAGTGGTGTAGTAGTAGTAGTAGTAGTAGTAGTAGTAGTAGTAGTAGTAGTAGTAGTAGTAGTTAGTAAGTAGTAGTAGTAGTAGTAGTAGTAGTAGTAGTAGTAGTAGTAGTAGTAGTAGTAGTAGTAGTAGTAGTAGTAGTAGTAGTAGTTAAGTTAGTAGTAGTAGTTAGTAGTAGTAGTTCGTAGTAGTAGTCGTAGTAGTAGGTAGTCGTAGTAGTAGTAGTAGTAGTAGTAGTCGTCGTAGCAGTAGTAGTATTAGTAGTAGTAGTGGTAGTAGTAGTAGTAGTAGTAGTAGTAGTACGAGTACTAGTACTAGTACGAGTAGTAGTAGTTGTTGTTGTAGTAGTAGTACGAGGAGGAGGAGGAGGAGGAGGAGGTAGGAGGTAGGAGGTAGGAGGTAGGAGGAGTACGAGCAGTAGTAGTAGGAGTAGTAGTAGTAGTAGGAGTAGCAGTAGTAGTGGTGTTGGTAGTAGTGGTGTTAGTAGTAGTGGTAGTAGTAGTGCTACAAGTATCATTCGTAGCATGTGTATTAGTAGTATGATGGTTCTTAGTTGTAGGAGTAGTAGTAGTAGAAGAAGAAGTAGTAGTAGTAGTAATAGTAGTAGTAGTCGTAGTAGTAGTAGTAGTAGTAGTTGTTGTTGTTGTAGGTATAGTTGTCGTACCCGTAGTCGCAGTAGCAGTAGTAGTAGTAGTTGTTGTTGTTTCTGTTGTTCTAGCTGTAGTAGTAGTAGCAGCAGCAGCAGCAGTCGTAGTGACAGTAGTAGTAGTAGTAGCAGCAGCAGTAGTAGTAGTAGTAGTATTTGCTGTTGTCTTAGTAGTGGTAGTAGTCGTCGTCGTCGTGGTCGTGGTCGTCATGATAGTTGTACAACCATTAGAAGTATTATGAAGATTCGTCTTCGACTCCGTTTCAGAATTTCTGCTGTGATTGCTATGACTATGATCACTATTGTTGCTATCTTTCTTTCAAAGCGTCCCCTGCCCCCCCCTCGTCCGCGCACATGCCTCGAGCCCTGCTGCGCTAACACCGCCCCCTCCCCCTGGCCCACGTCTTCGGCGCACCCGGAGAGGTGCCCTGGCCGGCCGGTAAGCTTGAGACGTTCTACTACTTCGCGCCGCACCCGGACCCCAGCAGGCCACTCGTTGCGTGGATGAACGGCGGGCCGGGGGCGTCCTCGGTGGTGGGGCTGTTCGCCGAGCTGGGGCCCCTGCTGCTCAACGCCCGAAGCGCCCCCCGGCCGGGGAGAGATGGCTGGGAGCTCTTTGCGAACCCGGACGGCTGGGGCGCGGAGGGGTCCCTGCTGGCGTGGGAGCAGCCCGCGGGCGTCGGCTTCAGCCGCTGCCCTGGCTGCGGCGACTGGAACGACACCAGCGCAACGATGGCAAGCCACGCCTTTCTCCTCGCCTTCTACGAGGCCTTCCCTGCGGAGCGCTCCCGGCCCTTGTTCATCGCCGGCGAGTCCTACGGCGGCATCTACGTCCCGCTGCTGGCTAACCAGGTGCACCTTCACAACTCGAAGGCGGCGGAGGCGATCCCTCTGCGGGGGGTGGCCATCGGAAACGGGTGCATCGGCTTCGGCGTGTCGGGCGCCTGCGGGACTGACTCGTTGGAGTTGCTCGTGGAAGTCCTCGAGACGGCCGCGCCTGGGGTGGACCGGAGTCTGCTGGCTCAAGTGCGTCATGCCTGCAGAGGAGAGCTCGACAAAGGCCTGGGGCCCGCGGACTTGTCGACCGCGTGCAGGTCGGCATTCAAGGAGCTCGAAGAGGAGATTGGCGATTACAACAGCTATCCAGCTGCCTGCGGCAAACGCCACCGTGCCAGCGAAGCAGCGCAGCGTGAAGGAGGTCGAGTCAAAGACCCACTGCAACTCAGCGCGCTGTCTGAATTCCAGTTCAGTCTCCGACTCGACTTCGGCCCCTCGGCTCTTGGGGGCCTCTTGGGGCCCTCTCGCGGGAATCCCGGTAGGCCCCGAGGAGCACTCTAGCACGCGCCGACGTGCAACAGACGCGTTGGCGGATCACTTCGGCAGCCCGTGCGGGCCGGACGAGCAGGGCAATTGGGGCGATGGCTCCGCTTTCTCGTGCGGCTCGATGGCGGCGACGCGGTCCTACTTCAACGACCTCGAAGTGCAGCGGGCCCTCCACGCGGTCCCCGCGAGCGCAACGGAGGCCCTCAAGTGGACGACGTGGGACGGGGACGCCCCCTTCTACAACATCACCGTCGCCGACGCCCAGCCCGTGTACAGGGCCCTGCTGGCAGCCAACTACTCCATGCTCATCTATCCCGCTGCGCTGCCGCGCGATTCCGCCACCACGCTCCGGCGGGCGCAGGGGATGGGAGGGCCTTCAGAGGGGGACGGGGGGAGGATCCAGGGAGCCCTCGCCCCAGACTTTGCGTTTGGGACCACATGCTCTGCCTGGAAGGCCGAATACGCAGGGACCTGGTCACACAAAGGAGCGAGCGTATCCCCTGGGCTCCATGCGCCGGGGGAGCCGAATTCCTGCGTCGCCAAGTGCGAAAGGGCCCAGCGCACACAAAAACCGCTGCCAGCGCGGTGGCGGACAACGGGCTGCGCGACACTTGCGTGCCCGCGATCGGCGTGGAGAAGTGGGCCCCCCGCGTCTCCGGAGAGCCGCTGCGCCGACGCAAGTGGGGCGGGCCGGACGCCACGAGCGGCGAGCACGTCCACATCCACGCTCTCGCGGCCTGGGGCTCTGAGGCGCGATCCCGTGGATACGCGGTCGCGTGGGTTCATGTTTCACGAACCAGGGCAGTGAGGATGAAAGTTGCCAGCCTCTTCACCGAGGGAAAGGGGGCTGGACCATGCGATGCACAAGCCATGGAGGAGAAGGGAAAGTCGGCGAAGGAGGGAACCGAGATGGAAGGAGACAACTGGTTGAGGAGAAACAACGAAGTGGGAGATCGGTCGCACGGAAGCGTTCCGCGCGGGGCGCCTGCGAAGGAGCGCCCCGTATCCGTGGGGTCGCAGCCCAGGGGCCCGGCCCGCGAGGCCGGGGATGTGGACGCGCTCCCCGCCCGCGAGGATGGCGGGCTGGCCGGGCACGTCACGGAGTTCGCCGACGGCCTCACGTTCGCCACGATCGAGGGCGCGGGCCACTTCGTGCCCGCGGACCGCCCCCGCCAGGCGCGGGCCATGCTCGGGGCCTTCGTGCGGGGCGAGGCGCTCCCGGAGTACACCGGCAGGGCGTGCACGCCGCTGTGGCTGCCGGCGGGGAAACACTCAGTTGCACGGAATGGCAACAAGCGTTCGGAGCTCCGCACGGATTTCTCGGATTGGCGCTGGACCTCCCTCCCCGGCACGTGGGAGCGCGCCAGGGGCGGACCGTGGGGGAAAGTGAGATGGGGCAGGCCTAACCAGAAGGCGGCGGGGCTTCTCAGAAGCCCTCCAGCCGTCCCCTGGAGGTTTAGAGCCCATCCCCAGGATCGTTTTTTCATCCTGAGACGTTTTGCTCCTGGAAACGACGTGTGGGCCTTGGGTTTCTTTTAGGATGGTGTACCTGTCCCCCAGTGCCAAGTTCGACGAGAGGGCGGAAGTACTATGGCGGGTCGAAGAGGGTCGGCGGAATTGAATTGTGAGGATGTCCCGAGCGAGACGCTGGTTCTTGAAATTCCGATCGATAAAACAGAGGGTAAAGTAAACATGTTCGTGTGTTGCGGATGTCTCGGGCGAAACCTTGGTGTTTGCAGAATTGGTTGAGGATGTCTCGAGCGAAACGCTTGTTTTGTCCCATCGAGTGATCCTCTTCTGGGGGCCAGAATTCAGAGGATATCTCAGGCGAAATGCTAGTTTTCACATGCCCAGATCGCCCATGGAGGTATCTAAAACATGGCTGCCCCCAGATGGAACCATGTGCTGTCACGTGTGCGGGTCACCCAAAAAAGTATCCAACATGGTGGCCCTGAGCTGGACTCGCGTACTTTCATGTGTCCAGGCCAGCCGGAGGGGTATCGAGAATGGTCGTCCCGAGCTGGAATCACGTGTTCTCGCGTGTCCAGGCAACCCAAGGGGGAGATCTAACATGGTGGCCCCGAGCTGGAACCATCTGTTTCTACGTGTCCAGGCCACTCAGGGGGTATCTAACACGGATGCCCCGAGCTGGAACCATGTGTCTTTACATGTGCGGGCGACCCGCGGGGGTATCTAAGATGGTTGCCTCTTGCCCCTCGTTGGAACCATGTGGTTGCACGTATCCTGACCACCCAGAAAGGTATCTAACATGGTGGTCCCGAGCTGGCACCACGTGTTTTCAGGTGCCCAGGCCACCCAGAGGGTATCTAACATGGCTGCCCCGAGCTGGAACCGCGTGTGTTTACAACTACCGGCCACCCACGGGGGAGGCTATCTAACATATGGTGGTCTGGGCGCCCCCAGCGTGGGGGCCTACAAGAGCCGGACGAAACCAATAACTTGATTACAGATGTGTAGCAACCTGACACAATTTCTTCGTCCGGTGATCTTCCAGATTTCCCACTGGGAAAACATGGTGGTCCCGAGCTGGAGCCACGCGTTTTCACGTATCCAGGCCACCCAGAGGGTATCCAACATGGCTGCCCCGAGCTGGACTCACGTGTTTTTCATGTGTCCAGGCCACCCTGAGGGGTATCCAACATGGCTGTCCCCAGATGGAACCATGTGTTGTCACGTGTGCGGGCCACCCAGGGGGGGGAGATCTAACATGGTGGTCCCGAGCTGGAGCCACGTGTTTTCGCGTGTCCAGGCCACCCAGGGCGATGCCCAACATGGTGGTCCCGAGCTGGAAGCACTGTTTTTTTTCAATATGCGGGCCGTTCATTGGAAGGTATCGAAGATGGTTGGTTCGTGCCACTCGGTGGAACCATGTGCTGTCATATGTCCAGGCCACCCAGAAAGGTATCTAACATGGTGGCCCCGAGCTGGAACCACGTGTTTTCAGTTTCCCAGGCCACCCAGAGGGTATCTAATATGGTTGCCCCGAGCTGGCATGTTCTTACATGTGCGGGCCACCCACGGGGGGGGAGTCAACATAGGGTCGTCTGGGCGCCCCCACCCTGGGGGCCCACAAGAGCCGGACAATATCAAACAAGTGATACCAGATGTGCAGCAAGCTGACACAGTGTCTTCGTCTGGTGATTGCCCAGAATTCCCACT